TTGTATTTGTTACTCATTTTATAAATAAATTATATTATCGCATTTTCCTCGAAAGTTTTAACACATTATAGTAAATAAATGTACTATTACTCTTTTACTATCCCTAATTACTTTGGAGTGGTAAGAATACGAGTGTTAGAGCATTCACAGTGGGGGGGTGTATTTTCGGGGGTGTAAAGTCACTTTTACATCCCCTTTACACCTCCAGGGGGTGTAAATACGTTTTTTGCTCCAATGAAAAACGATGTAAATCCAAATATATGCATATTCGATTTGTTTGTGATAATTCTTTTTTGTGTGTTTTTTTTCGTATGTTTTAACTTTTAAAAATTAATTTTGTGCGTATTAGATTTATTTTATTTTTCCAAATAAATGGACCTAAAAAATTTAAATTTGGAGAACATATGATTTTACCTACAAACTAACATAAAAATATCTATGTAGAAATCTGGGGCATTGGAAGTGCAATGCAAGTTGCATGAAATCTAGACCTTCTATTTTCAATTTCAATCATTCTCTTTCCCTTTTTCTCTTTGTGGGTTCCGCCTGCAAAGGATGTAAAAAAATATGCAAATGTGCATCTAATTTTACATCTCCATGGTTGTGATATATTTTTACAACCATTTACATTGTCCTATTAGAAATGATTATAACGATAAAGAGTGTATATTTAACATATACTCCCTTATACACCCTCCCATTTTAAATGTTTTGGAGGAATAATTGTGAATGAGAGTGGAAGCAGCGACGTCGTACAAAAGCTAAGGATTTCACAACTTTACAAAGGCTGTCAATCTCGAAGTAGTTACAGTGGGTCAATTTTACTTTTTGGAAAAATTTCCGCAGGGAATGTATAATTTATTGTCTGCATTTGTCAACAGTAAAAGCTCACCAACGAAAACCAAACTTTGTTTCTCTCACACCACAAAATGGTTGGGTTATAGGCAGAAAAAAAGGAAAAATAAATAATCACGCCAAAATGGTCGGTTCTACAACGGCTTTATTTCCCTCAATCTTGCATTTCCTTTTCTTTTGCCGCTCCAAGATGTTGCTTCATAGATTCTGAACTTTTTCCTATTGAAAAAGACGGTAATATAATAAACTTACATACGCTGCATGAATGCTATGATCCGAATTCGAAACTTTATCTGAGGAAACAATTACTCCAAACTACTATACTAGTGGGTCATTTACTGTAGTTTCTAAACTTAAATATGTTTAATTCAGTATAGAAAAATACTAGATTGTTTAATGATTAATTTGTGGATAAATATTAAAAGTACATGGTTTATTTATGTGAGCTGGATTCCAAGTTTCCAACGGTTGCGTGTTAATTTTAACCATATGCGCAAAGGGGATCGATGCAAATTAAAATAAAAACAACATTTATTAGGCGAAAGTGGTAATTAAATTAAGCAAAAGATTCGAAGCATCTCAAAATGGAAGGGAAATAAGAGTCATAAGATTTAGTTCATTTAGATGATTTCCCCTTTATATTTAAGAGGACACTTGCAGCCTTCTGCAAAAATGAACGTTGCTTTGTTCTTGTGCTTCATAATATACTTCTGCTGAGTCAGTGTTGAAATGATAATTTTCATTAAATGAATAAATAAAGTACAAGTGAAAATAAAAAGGTGGCTGTCTGCGTGGAAATCTTGTTAAAAGTGAATAACAAAAATAATAATTTATCATAAAAGATTATTAAATAATTTTTGCTGAGTCAGCATGAAAAGATTATTAAATAACTTGCTCCAGAGTTTAGCATGTTGTAATTTATTAGCACTTGATCATGGGGAAAATCTAAGATGTATAGACGGACTGACAAAAATATTCACTAAATAATAATCTCTAGTGGGGAAATCTGTGTGTCAAAATATTTTTTTTCTTCAATTTTCTGTATGAAGAGAACAAACATCATAGAGTCGTTGACGAATATTTCTTATGAACATAGAACACAGAGCGTATGAAATATTTTGGGCTAGATTAGGAGATGAAATTGGATTCACAATTCTAGTTAGGTGTTTTGAAATCCAAAATCAAAATTTATTTAATTTTTTTTTGTTTTTTTTTTTTTTTTTTTTTTTTTTTGGTTGTTTGTTTTACACATAACGTCTGCGTGAGATCAGCTTGCCTAGGCAGTTAACCTAGGCAAGTCTTGCCTTTGGGCTTGCCCAGCTTGTGAAGCCCAGTGCCTACCCTAGCAAGCCTTGGCAGCTAGAAACGAGATTGGGAGCCTAGGTAGCCTCTTGCCCGAACTAGCCTCTCCTGCTGGAGGTGCTCTAAGAGGCTATAGCCCAATGGAAGATTGGGAAAAAGACAAAGACCTTGTACAAATTTTAATAAACTCCCCCTATTCCCACAAATATTAGCCCATCCCTTATTGCAAAATTAAAAGCTTAGTTCAAACTTATATAAGCAAATAAAATGAATATATATTTTATTATAGAAATGAGCAAGATCAAGATCTCATGAACCCAAAGAAAGTTCCTCATGTAGTGTATACCTTATTTTCTCTGGGATTGAAAATGAGGTCATTCTTGCTTGCCTTATTTTATCTAAATAATCATTTTTATTTTTTATCTCTTTGATTTGTGTGGTTTAGTTTTAAAAGTAAATTAAATATACAAATTGAACTTAAATTTCAATTGAATCCAGGATTACCTTGCATAGCAGCAAGACTAAAGATGATTAGAATAATAGTACGCCGAACTACTGGACTAAATGTCTCTGTGTAGTCAAAACCAAGCTCTTGGCTAAGGCCTTGAGCTACTAACCGTGCCTTGTAGATATAGTGCCATCAGAATTCTTTTTGATTTAGTAGATCTACTTTCTGCCTACAATATTAGTATTCACTGGAGGAGGAACAAGTTCCCATGTCCCTTGCATATGAAGAGTATATATTTCCTCTTTGTTTACCCTTTTTATATTTGAGCGTGTTGAAAGCTAAGTAAAATTCCCCGTTAACCTTTTAATCATTTACGGTCTCCAGATTAACTTTTTTTTAATGTGAGCGTGCCACTGTTAGTAATTAAAACTCTAACAAATTTGAATAATTTTATATACTTGTGCCCCAAGTAATTTACTTTAAACGAACGATTGTGATTTTGGGTGGGGAAACCTCCCAAGAGAATTCTTTTCTATACCTCAGACTGGTGAGGACTTCACAATTTATTTAGATAAAAATGGTAAGTAAAGCAAACTAAACGTATTTATGAAAGATATAACAAACTAGTCCAAACATAACTGCCTAAAATACAAAGCACAAAATGAATTGCCAAGTCTAGATAGGCCTTAGATTGTTGTACTTTGACTTCTGCTTAAAAATACAATCCAAATGATGTTTTAAGGTCAGGCGTGACTGGATTTCTTTTGGCTAGGCTGGATGTTTCTGCATTGGATTTGAACGTAAGCACCTTCAACTAATAGAGATGAGCTGGGTATCAATACCAATGTTGAGATTGGCAGAGCTATAAACAAGTTGAGCCATATGGAGGCTGGAAAAGTGAGCAGAATTGCAGGCTAGCACCTATTATTGTAGATTTTGAGTGATCTGGTAGCTTTCTAGACAATTTTAAGATATTAAGGTGTCTTTATAAATTTTGTCGAGGTTTTCATGTGATGGAAAAACATGACTTCTGCTTGTTTTATTTGATTTGCTAAACCAAATTTGTAAGAGAAATTAATCTCTTTTTGAATTCTGTTTGATTTACCTTGCCTATTTTGCAAAAAAAAAAATCATGTTTTCTCCTTGACGTTATGAGATTTTCCTTGAGCTAGATCGCTTACTGAGGAAGATTGCTTGCTTTCTTTTGGTAGTTGCTATATTGTGAGATTCTTGATCAATTTGAACTAATTGTTTAGATTGAGTCTTTGTTTGATTGGTCGGTTAGTTGGGTGTCTTTGATCCAGTCCAAGCACTCTTGTATTTATAGGAGAAAAAATAATGAGGAATAGTCCTGGATATTTTTGGTTTTGGACTAATCCTCATCAATGCACAAGTGGAAAAAGATTGTCAGCCAATTGCTTTGATTATTTTTGACTCTTCGCTTATTAATGCATCTGAATGCCTCTAATTGTTCCTTTTGCAAAATTCTGAACTGAAGTGAACAAATGCAGTTGGAAACTATGTTCTTTTTTGGCCCGATGTGAAATTTCTTTGGAATTTGAAAAACTTTGAAGCTAATGTTGTTCATACTGGTAAAAGAGTTAGAGATTTATTTGTTTTGACAGCTACGTCTAGCTCTTACGTAGACAATATGAGTAAGAATGACAGTGACACTTTGGCATGCTAGATTAGGGCATCTTAGCATGGATAAATTATAGGTAATGCTGCTGAAAAATTTAGTTGAGTGGCTGCCAAAGATTTCACATGTGATAAAGTTTGTGAAGGTTGCCAATTTGGGAAGGCACATCGTCTTCCATTTCAAAAATCTACTTAAAAAAGTAAGGCTCCATTGGAATTGGTCCATAGTGACTTGATGGGACCAACCACTACACCTTTTACGCATGTTGTAGTTACATGTTATTATTTGTAGATTATTTTACAAGATATATATATTTTGTGAAAGAAAAATATGAAGTCTTCTCCAAATTTCAAGAATTCAAAGTGGTTGTTGAAGGGGTGCTTGAAAGGAAAATAAAGTGTCTTCGGACTGATAATGGTGGAGAATTTACTTAAACTGCATTTATTAAGTTTTGTACAGAGCATGACATTCTTAAGCAACTCACTTGTGCTCACACACCACAACAAAACGGTGCGACGGAAAGGAAGATTAGGCATTTGGTGGAGACTTGTAAAAGCTGGTTATTTGCTAAAAATTTACCCAAGGCATTACGGGCAAATGGTATGGCATGGGCAACATATGTGATTGGTCCTTCTTAGTCCAATGATTTTAAGTCTTTGAGAAAATGTTTGGTGAGAAACCAAATGTCAAGCACTTCAAAGTTTTAGGTTCTATTTTCTATGTTCAAAAAACCAAGTTGGGTGCTAAAGCAAAAAAATGCATGTTCATTGGATTGATGAAAGGAAGAAGAGCTGGAAGTTTATGGAACGTGAAACTCATAAAACTTCATTTTCAAGGGATGTTGTCTTTGGTGACATTTCTTCCTATTATGAGAGGAAAGATGTTGTTGTTGACCCTGGATTGGTCGAGTCCCTGCCTATTTCATCAAATAGTTCGTCAGTGACTGAAATTAATTCCTCTTCATATGAACAAGGATATGGAGAAGCTATGACTCAAGATTATTCTTTTATGGGGGAGTAAGAAAATTGGGGAGCTGGCATTGACGGTGAAAATGGTGAGGAAGCAGTAGATGTACCATCTCTTAGAAGATCACAAAGAAAAGTTGTGAAGCCAGCTCGTTATCAAGACTTTGTTAGCTTTTATTCTTGTCTTCTTGCAGGACCAGCTGATGACAATGAGCCATCTTGTTTTGATGAAGCTCATGGCAAGAAGGATTGGGAGCAAGCTATGGATGAGGAGATGAATGCCATAATTAAAAATGAGACTTGGGATCTTGTTCTAGTTCCAGTGACATGCAAATGGGTCTATAAAATAAAACGCAAAGCGAATGGAAGTATAGACCGCTTTAAAGCAAGACTTGTTGTTCGCGGTTCTTCACAAAATATGGGGAAAACTAGAAGAAACTTTCAGTCCGGTTGAAAAGTTAACTTCAGTCTGTGTTGCGATTTCTTTAGCAGTTGTAGAGGATGGAAACTACGGCAGCTGGATGTTAAAAATGCTTTCCTATATGGAGAGATTGATCGTGATATTTATATGGTTCAACCACCGGATTATGTATCACGAGAGCATCCAGAATTTGTATGCAAGCTTAAGAAGGCACTCTATGGCTTGACAAAGCTGCAAGAGCTTGGTACGGCAAGATTGCTGAATTCTTACTGTTTTGTGGTTATGTTGCTTCTAATTCCGATGCAAGTTTGTTTGTTAAGAAGCATGGCAAATTACATGTGATAGTCCTCCTATATGTGGAAGACATGATTGTGAGTGGCAATGATGAGAAGGAGATTGCAAAGCTTCGATCCAAACTCTCAAGATTCTACTCAGCAACACCATCTTAATTTCCTACCACCTTCGGAACCTATCTTTTTATTGTGTTGTGCTTAAGAGCTGCTGCTTTAGCATTAATTATAATACTTTCATTAGCTGAACGTTTTGGTTTTGAGCTTAGCTAGTGTGTTGTGCTTCTATATGCTCATGCTCTCATATTTCTAAGTTGCTGTTTTGCTAATGAGTCTTGGGCTAGTGTGGAATTTGCACTACTTGAGAATCAATTTTCTGGAACTCGGAACTTGCAGTTTTTATACTTGTATTATGCCATTAAAAAAAAGCAATGGAATAAGAAGAATCATTACTTATATAAAAAAAGAGAGAGAAAAAAAAACAATATTTTAACAAGCACGTTGTTTTTGTAAAAAAAAAAAAAAAAAAAAAAAAAAAATTAGTTTTACATTATTACATATGGAAAACCGAGGATAACTCCAACCAGATCCAAATATTGTCTCATACACATTAATTTTAGACTCTCAAACTCTTCCTGGGGGTTTTGGATCGTGCTCTGGATTTGCACCTACCCCTGAATAGTCTGCGGTTTCCAAATCCATCCGCCCCTCAATAAACCCTTCTCCCAAACCAACAACACCTTCCTCCACCAAACTCTGAAAAGCAGAGATTCCTCAACTTAATTTCTTCATTAAAATTGGTTTATGTACAAACCCAACAAAATTACAGACAGAGAGATCATTACCTGACCCAGCAGAGCTTCTTTAGTTATCTTGAGGCTTCCTATAATATTACAGAAGAAAAAAAAGAAAAAGAAAAAAAAAGAGTTGATCATTATTGATCCCTTTGTTAAAATATACACAAATAAATAAACAAATATGAAAGCTTACTAGTGGCAGGAGCTGCAGCAGCAGATGAGGAGAAGAGGACATGTGTTAAGCTCAAAAAAAGAACTAGTTTAATCATGGAAGACTTGTAGGGCAGCATGCTGATGAAGAAGCACTTGAACTTGATGATGGAGATCTAAAAGAAAGCAGGAAGAAATAGAAGAGAATGGGAGGGGAGAGTGGTGGGTGATGATGAAGGCAATAGGAAACATGTGGGGATGGCTTTTTATACAGATAAGAAGACAAGTTGAAAATGCAATAAGCCAAAGAGGGTAGCCAATAGAAATATTGTTTCTCTAAAGTCAACTTGCTAATTAATTTTTTTCGGGTGTGCGTTAGGTCTTCTTCCATATTTATATTTCCATCCCTCTGTGTCTATCTTTCTCTTTTCTTTTCCCTTTTTTATTGTCAGCACAAATATCTGCCAGGATATTATGCAAGGAACAGAATGCACAAGCCGAACCCAAATTGCTTAAGATCTTGCCAGCTAAATACGATCAAAAGAAAATATTTTTTTGAAACAAAGTACTGTTAAAATATGAACATGGTTTGAATATTTTAGGTTAAGTTTTATTTTTCTACATAAGGAGGCATATGTAGGAGTTTACATGAGTGCTTTACAAGGAAATAGATACAGTAATGAATTAAGATAGTATTTCCTAATTATACAATAATTTGTCAACTATAGAAAATAAGAAAGTAAATCCCTTAATTAATCAAGGAAATAAATCTCCTTGATTAATTATGAGACTCTTGTTAGCACTCCTCCTCAAGTTGGTGCATATATTTCACCAATGCCCAACTTGGTAAGTGAGTCATGAATTACTCTTCCACAAACAGCTTTTGTTAAGACATATGTCAATTGATCTTCTGATTTTACAAATGGTAGGCGGTTGATCTTATTCTCAATTTTTTCTTTGATGAAATGTCTATCCACCTCAACATGTTTGGTTCGATCATGTTGAACTGGATTATGGGCAATATCAATAGCTGACTTGTTGCCACAATGCAACTCCATTGGCTTTTCTAGCTTAAAGCCCAATTCTATCAAGAGTCTTCTGATCCACAATAATTCATAAACTTCGTGAGTCATTCCTCAATACTCTGCTTCTGCAATAGACCGAGAAACCATATTTTGTTTTTTACTTCGCCAAGTGACTAGGTTACCTCCCACGAATGTAAAGTAACCAAAAGTAAAGTGTCTATCTGTAATGGAACCAGTCCAATCAGCATATGTATATCCAACAACTTCAAGATCTCCATTATTTGAGAACATTAATTCTTTTCCACGGGTTGACTTTAAGTATCTTAAGATCCGATCAACTGCATTCAACCACACTCAAAACATATGCAATATTTGGTTTTGTGTGTGCCAGACATATCAACCTTCCAACAAGGCGTTATTATTGTTCCTATTGGTTGGTTCTTGATCTTCACACAACTTGTGATTCATTTCAATAGGTGTGTCAGCTGGCTTACATCTAAGCATTCCTGTTTCAGTGAGTAGATCCATTACATACTTCTTTTTGACCTTGCTACCTCAATTCCGAGAAAGTACTTCAGATCATCTAAATCCTTCATCTCAAATTCTTGAGACAAATACTTTTGCAACTTCAGTTGCTCTCTAGTGTCGTTTCCAGTTACGACTATATCATCTACATAAACAATCAATGCAATAAGTCTTCTTCCATCATGCTTCACGAACAGGGTGTGATCTGAATTACTATGTGCATATTCAAAATTCTTCATAGATTTAGTAAATCTGCCAAACCATGCTTTGAGAGGTTGCTTTAATCCATATAATGACTTTCTGAGCTTGCAAACATGATTTTTCTTGTCACGCCCTAAATTATATCCTAGTGGTAAGTCCATATATACTTCTTCTTCTAAGTATCCATGTAAGAATGCATTTTTGACATCAAACTAATGTAATGACCAATCGAGATTTGCTACTAGAGACAATACAACTCCGATGGTGTTAATCTTGGCTACTAGGGCAAAGGTCTCATGGTAGTCTATCCTGTATCCCTGTGTGTACCCTTTTGCTACTAATCTAGCTTTATATCTTTCAATGGATCCATCTGCTTTGAGTTTCACAATATAAATCCACTTGCATCCTACTGTCTTCTTTCCATGAGGTAAGGGCACGAGTTCCTATGTGACATTCTTTTGGAGGGCTCGCATTTCTTTATTCATGGCTTCTTTCCATTTTGGGTCTTCTAGTGCTTCAGTCACACTGTTGGGGATAGATATGTCAGCTAACTATTTCACAAAGTGCACACGTTCCTTTGATAATCTGCTGAGAGATATATAATTATTGATGGGGTATTTCCCTTTGGCTTTAAGATATGCTTCATGTTGTACTCGAGGTTTGCCACAGTTCTTCCTTTCTGGAAACTGATATGTAGGCTATGTGCTTTCTAAAATCAAATCATTATGGGATATTTCATTAGTGTTATCAGTTTCAAGGAAAGATGTTACCTAAATGACTTCCTTAGCAGGTGATTGGTGTCGTACTAGAGCTGAAGAATTCTCCAGAGCAGGCAAAATCTCATAAAATGGTTAAATTTCCTCCTCTTGAGTTTGACAGCGTGGAGACAACTAATCGTTTTCCTCTGGCGACCGGTCGCTGTTTGCTGGCTACTGGTTGTTTTGAAGCAGGTTCTTCGTGTTTGAAGAACTAAGGAGGGGGGCGATAGAAGCACGAGTCCTGGTAGCCGGGTCAGCAGGATTGAGCACATGCTTCTGTGAGTCTGCAATAAGGGAGAGAATCGTAAGGGGTCCTGACATTACCACGAAAGTAAGATATGATATGAGAATATGAGGAATTTGATTAGAGGAATGTGATTGTATGTGTATAAGATTTGAGGGTAGGGATTTTGATAAGAGGATTTAAGGATTTTAGATTTGAGGGATTTGGATTTTGGGAGTTTAAATATGAGGAATTTGATGAGAAATTTGATATAAGGGTTTAGAGACAACCTAGGATCGATTGCTCTGATACCATGCTAAAATATGAATATGCTTTGAATACTTAAGTTAAGTTTTATTCGTCTCCATAAGGAGGTATATAAGAGTTTACATGAGTGCTTTTCAAGGAAATAGATATAATAATCAATTAGAACAGTATCTACTAATTATACAATGATTTGTCAACTATATAAAATAAGAAAGTAAATCCCTTAATTAATCAATGAAATAAATTCTCCTTGATTAATTAGGAGACTCACGTCAACAAGTATTGTTGGAAAATTAGGTGTGAATTTATGTTCATATTATATTTTTCTTAATCCGAATTAAGTTATTATTAGATTGGGAAAAAAATCATGATATCTAAAAAATTCATTTAGTTGATGGGTTAATTGCATTTTACCACACCTAGTTTTATCTCAAATTTTATTCACATCCATGTTCTTATTTTGACAATCCCGACCTTAAATAGCAACGCTCCTTCCCAAATTCTCCTTTGAATTTTGAAATTTTAGTGTACTTAGATGATTCTGCCCCTAAAAAAAAATCTCTTTTGTTTAGAGACTTGTTTTGGAATTTTTCTTTATACCATGACGTAAAGCTCAATCCGACAAATGGGTAGCAAAAATGAATCTCAGAAAAAATTACATGGCTTTGAAGTACCGGGGCATTTTTGGAAAGATAACATCAATAAAAACCCCCCAACCATCGGTGCATGTGTGTGTGTTGTTGTTCGACCACCGTTGACCACGAATTTGGTTGGAAAGGTTACTGCTCATCCTTACTCAAACGAAACACATGATTAAATAATTGTGATTGATATTATATTTCTCCAAGAGGAGGGTACATATATAAGTACAAGTTGACTTTTCCTACAAGGAAAAATAAGGGATCACGGAATCCCTAAATTATGGCTGCACCAACACTACCCCTCAAGTTGGTGTGTAGATATCTCCTATGCCCAATTTATCAAGTGAGTCATGAAAAACATTTGTTGACACCGCATGCGTTAAGACATCTGCCATCTATTCTTTTGACTTTACAAAAGGTATATCAATTAGCTTATCTACCAGCTTCTCCTTGATATAATGCCTATCCACTCCAATATGCTTAGTTCTATCATGTTGAATTAGATTATTTGTTATCTCTCTCGCAGCTTGGTTTCGCAGTAACGCTCCATGATTTTCTTTAGTGGAAAACCAATTTCGGACACGAGTATCCTTAACCAAAGAAGCTCACAAACTCCCTGTGCTATGTCCTTGTATTCTGGCTGAGCTGAAGATCGAGCGACTACATTTTGCTTTTTACTTCGCCATATAACCAATCCCAATGAATGTGAAGTAACTGGATGTAGAACGTCTATCTATTATATTGCATGCCTAATATGCATCAATATAACCCTTGACATCCAAATGTCCTAGTTTTCTTAATATCAAGCCTCAGCTTGGAGCTTTCTTCAAATAACACAAAATCCTCATAATTGCAGCATCCTCATTAGGAGAAGGCATGAACTGGCTAAGAACACCAACTGCATATGCGATATCTGGTCTAGTGTACAAAAGATAAATTAGTCTTCCCACTAACCTCTGATATCTCTCCTTGTTGGTTGGCACTTGATCAGGATAGATTGCTAGGTGATGATTCTGCACAATAGAGGTTTCGGCTAGTGCATACCTTAACATACCAGTTTCTGTCAACAGGTTTAGAACATACTTCCTTTGAGAGAGACAAATGCTAGTAGTAGAGTGAGTTACTTTGATCCCCAGAAAATACTTCAAAGCCCTTACGTTCTTCATCTCAAACTCTGAGGCTAAGTACTTTTATAATTTACCCATTTCAACAACATCACCACCAGTAACTACCATATCGTTGACATAGATTATCAACAAAGTAATCTTACCATCCCAACGTTTGATAAATAGGATATGATCTGAGTTATCTTCATGATATCTATACTTCTTCATTGCTTCAGTGAACTGCCCAAACCATATTCGCGGAGACTGCTTCAATCCATAAAGGGTCTTTCAAACCCTACACACCTTCCCACTATTATTTGACAACCCATAACCAAGTGGTATGTCCATGTACAATTCTTCTTTTAGATCTCCATGTAGAAAGGCATTCTTCACATCAAATTGCTTGAAAGGCCAATCTAAATTAGCTGCTAAAGACAATAGAACTCACACCGTATTCATTTTTGCCACCGATGTAAACCTATCCTAATAATCAACTACATACGTCTGCGTATACCCTTTGGCCACAAGTCTTGCTTTATATATATCTATTGTGCCTTTAGCTTTGTGCTTAACTGTGTACACCCATCGACATCCAACAAGTTTCTTTTCTTCATGTTGCGGAACTATCTCTCATGTTCCATTCTTCTGTAAGGCCTCCATCTCCACATTCATTGCTTCCACCCATTTTGGGTCTTGCAAAGCTTCTTCCAATCTATTAGGAATTTTAATTCCTTTCCTTCTGGTGAGAATATGTCTGGTGGTATTCCCTTCTTTTCTCATGCATGTAATTTTTTCACAATTTCAAAAATATTTTGAGAAGCATTGGGATCTAAAGGACTTACCTCAAGGATGTTCAGTGGAGTATGAGCAGGTGTGTTAGAGAAAGGGGGATTGATGTTGTCCAGTTCGGCTCAGCTCGATTGTTCTGCTCAACTAGACTAGTCAACAGCTTGTTTCCAGCAGCTTCTTGGCTCGGGTTGGCTCGGCTGAGCTAAGCGGCTCGGGTTCCGGTGCACTATTGTGTGCTTCTTTCCCCGTATGTCTATCTCAAACCAATTATGTGCTTATTTTACTATATTCCCTCAAGGACATGATGGGGCACGTTTGATAGAAGAAACATCTTGTTCTCCACAAATGTAACATCCATGGTAACATAAAAGTGGCGACTGGATGGATGGTAACACCAGTAACCCATTTGTTGAGGCGCAAAACCCACAAAGACACAGCGGTGCGTACTCTGATCCAACTTGGTCATGTGAGATTTATTGAGATGGACATACGCCACACAACCAAAAATGCGCGGAGTGAGATTAAGATGGGAACAAACAGGAACATGAGCAGCTAATGTCTGAAGTAATGTTTTAAAACCTAAAACACGTGAAGGCATACGATTAAAAAGATAGATATCATACTGAACTGCTACCATTCAAAGGGTTTGGGGAACACGCCCCCTAATAAAGAGAGCTCGAGCAGTCTCAAGAATATGGCTATTTTTGCATTAAGCCACACCATTATGTTTTGGAGTCTGCGGACAAGTAGTTTCATGGAGAATGTCTTTTTCAGTGAAGAAGTTTGCGACTGTGTGGTTAACAAATTCACCTCCATTATCTGAACGAACAACTTTAATCGAACAAGAATATTGAGTTTGAATCATCTGGTAAAAATTCTTGAATAAAGAACCAACTTCACTTTTATGCTTCATAACATAAAGCTAAGTTAACCAAGTACAATCATCAATGAAGATCACAAACCACCAAACACCAAAGACAGTAGTAATCGGAGATGGACCATAAACATGTGAATGGATTAAATCAAAAGGAGATATGCTTTTATACAAACTAGGTGGATAAAAAGTTCGGTGACTTTTTGCAACAATCCAAGTCTCACACTGAAAAGTTAGAAATTTTTACTCCACTAAATAGTGATGGAATCAAAGACTACAAATAACCAAAGGAAACATGACCCAACGGCCGATGCCATAATCAAATCTTTTTATGCTTCTCACTGACAATGCCCTGAACCTAATGAACACAACCTGGTGCAATGCAATCCACATAGTAAAGCCCCCCTTTCTTAGTATCACACCCAATGATCTCTCTGATCTGAACATCCTGAAGCAAACAAAAGGAAGAGAACATGAGCACGCAACAATCTAACTGTTCGGTAACTTGCTCAACAGATAATAAATTATGAGACAAAGCAAGAACAAGTAAAGTTTTATGTAAAGAGAGGGTATGAGTAATAGTAATGGAACCAGCCCCAGTGACTGAGTTAGATTCGCCATTGGCAGTAACCACACTTGTTTTGGTAAGAGCAATCATAGAATGAAAAAAGGATTTATCATAGGTCATATGATCAGTAGCACCCAAATCGATAATCCAACTTGTATCTCGTTAATAGGAAAGCACCAAAGGTTTTCCCTAGTTACCTTCATAGTTAGTAGGCTCTGGAATGGATAACTAAGAGAAAACAGTAAGAGAATCATCAACTGAAGGAGCTGTCATGTGTGAAGTTGAGATACTCAAGGTAGTGTTGGTGACTGGGCTGACAAACGACTGGTCGGGGACCGGGCAGACAAAAGACTGGCCACCACCGACGACAGCAGTTACACTGCTACATCCATTATTTTTCTTAGCGTGCGCTGCCTTTCATTGCTTCTTACGTTCAAGGAACTACTCCGGAAACCCATTCTTGTGAAAATATGTTTCCTTTACGTGATGGATCCCATTACAGTAAGTGCAATGCACTTACTCAACCTCAACAAATCTCATCTAATTTTATAAAAATCATCATCTAGACATGCAAGAAAATCGTAAATACAGTCTTTCTGTATCTCAGCCTGTCGAATCTTCACATCATCAGGGCACTTCATGTTGATTAGACGACAATGGTCTAGTTCCAACCAAATGCTCTTGAGCTTGGCAAAGTATGATGCAATATCGTGACCTCCTTGAGTAATACGGGTTGCTTTGCACTGTAATTCATAAATTTGAGACTCATCAGACGCGTTATAATAAACCTGAGCTGTACTCTCCTAAACATCTTTAGTTATTGGTATATCTAAGAACAATTCTACCAAATCAGGTTCCATGGTTTTTATCAACCATCCTTAACAATGGAGTCCTCAATACACCACAAATCAAAGCTCGAAGTGTCTTCCTCCACTTGAGCCACCTTCCCTTTCAGATAATCTCTTTTTCCCTAGCCTGACACATAAGGCAACATCATCTTTGACCAAGTGCTATAGTTCTTTCCATTCAACCATATGGTGAATGGGGCAGCGGAAATATCATTGTGAACTGTAACAATTGGTTGTGCCATGTCAAGATTTTTGCGGGGTTCTAAAGCACTGGATTTTGCGGTTGTGGTGGGGTTGTTTGGCGTATCTTCGAAAGCCATGGAGGAGAAAAAACAAGTTTGGATGGGTTGGTGTTGTAGGAGTCTTTTGCCGCACTAGGTTTGTGATGACAAGGGCTCAGCCGTTGTTTTGCGGCAGACAGGTTTTTTTTCTTTTGTGTTTTTTTTTCTTGTATTCGGTGCCAGAGGATGCCGATGGGTAAGGTTTGTATTTTTGTTTGAGATACCGAGTTAACCGGCTCTAATACCAACTCAAACTAAACACATGATTGAATAATTGTGATTGATATTATATTTTTCTAAGAGGAGGGTATATATACAAGTACAAGTTGACTTTTCCTACAAGGAAAAGTAATTAGCTAATTACAAAGAATCCTAACTAGATAATTATTCTGATTAGGTAACATGAATTACACCAGGAAATCAGGGATCACGGGATCCCTGAATTATGGCTCACGCCAACATCCTCCTCTATAAAACTCAACAAAGACCTTGTTTAATTAGCCACTGTAGCCGGTAGAAGCTTTGAATATCCAACCACCTCCTAGGACTTCCTCAATTTTCGGTCAATTTCAACCACATTTGACGTTGACACATGTATGAAAGTTGCTCTACTCTTCGAGTTTGACATTTTGGTGTAGGTCTTGATCAAGGATGTTGAGTTTTTTCGTCGCTGGAATTTTCTCAAGCCACCAACACTGGTGGCAACATGTGTGACCATCTATCTGGGTTGATCTGTTTTCCCTCAGTCTGATGTTAAGTTTTTGTTGCTGAAATTTTCTCAAGCCACTCACAGCATGCTCGGATTAGTGAGATTCAATTGTTTAGCCGACGATCAAAGTTTTTGTCTAATATGGACCATTAGACCGAAAATGATGCAACTGTTGGATCACCTCCAGCTTTTACTATGTTCTTGTTGGAGTTGCTAGGAGTCTGTTAAAACTGATGTACCAAGAATCCAAAGTTCATAGTTCCTAGATCAACCTTTCTATTGCCGTTAGATTATGTGATCTACAAAATCTGACCAAAGCCATACATGGGTAAAACTTTCCAGTGATTTGAGCTAGCCGAAAAGCTAAAACGATTTGGAGAGAATCACTATTGAAAATAAAATTTCTATAACCCTTCTCAACCGCCATAATTTCCCCAAATATAGTCCAATGACATTAAGGACAAAAACTAGCCGCTAACCAGCAGGACTCTCTTTGAGAGATTAAGAACTCAACTAAGTTTTTGGAATCATAAAAGAAAAAAAAACATAGAAAACTTGTAGAGTTTATGGACTTTATTGAACAAACTAAACCAAAATTAAAAAAAACTAAAACAACGCTAGCAAAATGAAAACCAACCACTTCTAATCTTCCTTAAGGACATGACATAGAGAGCCTCACGTAGTTACTCCAGGACCTTAATGAACCAATGTGCAGTGGATCTACCACGACCAAGCTGCAACACCTCAAAGAGCATTCTCGCAAGATGAGGCACAACCAAAGCCAACCTAGATATGAGACAATAGATCCGCCAAAAGAAAAGTAAATAGACAAAAGTCCACTAAAAGTCAAAGAACACCGAAGATCCAACTGGATTCGGTCCCGGATCTAAAGTTCTCTCTCTCTCTCTCTCTCTCTCTCTCTCTCTCTCTCTTAGCGGCTAGGACTTTTTCAAAAATAAATTTTCTATAACGTGACACACACACACCCCCCGGACTAGGCACTTAGATTCGCTTCTCTTCGTAACGCTTAGTGGGTTGCATTCTATAGCACTCATCTCCCTCGATGAGGTCTATACTTGGCCAATACAATAGTAAAGACTAGACATTTCTTCTTCGACCAAAAGAAGCGATTTTAGTGTGTTTGGGGTAACTGGTCGGGAGAGAGGAGAAAAGGTGGTTGGGCTTAGGAGTAGTGTGTTAGATTTCTTTGTATGTGTGTTCATGATCTTTCACACAATTTGAAATATGCAAAGACATACCTGACGCCATCTTTCTTGAGTACACGACCTTTGAACTCATTCAACCGCAGTAGCAACAATCCCAACAAGAATAGCAACGGCTCAAGACTTCTGCTCTCTCTCAGAATTTGTTTAAGCTATCTCTTTATGATAAGATTAGGGTTAGAGAATGTGTCTGACGAGAGCAGGGCCTTAAACTTATATAGGGCTAGGTCAAGTCATCTCTACTCATTACCAAGGGCAGACTTGACTAATCTTCCAATGTTCGTGCAAAAAAGGAAATAAATAGGACCCCTTAATAGGCTTCAAAACCTTTCCTTATTCCACAAAGTTTTGAGCCTCAAGGTATAACATAATATAACTTAGTATTTAGTGCATCAATCTAAATAGGAAGCATAACATAGTAGTGGAGAGAGAGAGAGAGAGAGAGAGAGAGAGAGAGAGAGAGAGGAGGAAAGGATTGCTAGATTTCGACGAAGTGAGGGAGAAGAGAGAGAAAGGAGATATAGGTTTTTAAAAACAAAACTTATATCTGTCACAATTTTTAATTTTTTTATATTAATACTTAATTACACTAAAGCTAAAAAAGTGGACCTGTCTAACAAACATTTTAATAGATAGAATATATAAATTAGTTGAAATTTAAGACGTTCATGTGTAAAATTGATAAAATTAAAATCTCATGGGTCATTTCAAGAATGACCTCAAATCTTCAACGCCTAAAACTGTCGTTAGCCCATAAATAAAGAAGTTGATAGGGTTAGGGTGGCTTCCTAGAAGACAGAAGTGGTGAAGGATTTAAATGTCGGTCTATTATTATGAGAGTGAGTCCATGTCCATCACAATTGGGGCCGGTAGCCACAACCTGAGTGGCTGAGCTAACCCAAGGGACAAATGACTTGCCGTATGGGACAAATGAGCAAAGTCATATGTCAGACGTCTTTCCACCGCCCAAGCTCAATGTTGTTCCCCCACACCATCCAAGCTCCAAACAAGTCCAACATCAATTAGAGTCATAGAGATTCCATCTATTATTATGTGCTATTCCAATAATAATATTTAAACAAAAGAAAGAAAAAAAAACATTCTCAAGTGGCAAACAAATGAACTTTTTGAAATAATAAATAACGCAAGGGATGAACAAGGGAAGCGACTGTAGGCCGGTGGTTGTTGTTAATAATTGTGCAATATATGAATAGTTCTTCGCAATTATTTTAAAGTTTTTTTATTTAAACCTCACATTTTTCTTTTTTCACTTCAATACTTAAATCATTCAGCTATTAAGTTTTATTATTGTGTAAAAAGACAACAAAAAGGTCATCCAATTTAATATTTAACCCGAATACATCTATACACACACTCTACACACCCACCACTCTTCATATTAAGTTGTAAGTATCTAAAAAGAATATAGAGTGGACTTTTTTATGATAACAGGAGTTGTAGGGTGTGGGGCGCGGGGTGTAAAACTTTTCCCTAAAGATCTAATGTGTATCAAAACAAATTATGATATCTAAGATTCTCATTTATGCCTTTTTCTCTCTCTTGTAGAAAATCTAATGTTGAACATTATAAAGATGCTGTTAAACAAGACAACACCCCTCCAGATCGGAAATTTTGTGGATCATCCAAGAAGTTGGTTCTCTATTGTTCATCTCTCACAAATGCAGAGAGCGTAAAGAGCTGCTTAGAGTGTTTGCTTTGTTCATTGTTTCTTTCTTTTCCTTTAAGAAATTGAAATGGACTAAAGAATTCCTTTACTCCTAGTTGGCTTGAACTGCAAGAATTTGTTTTTGGATTTGAAAGATTATCTAGACTTACAGTAAAGGGTGTGAGGTTGATGAGTTTATTTATTTATATTTATTCTTATTTTTATGTTGGGTGTGTATTTAGTGGTAGTTTGGGAAGATAACGGGGTTTTCTTAGAAATTGTGAAAATTTGAATTAAAAGTTGGGGTGAACTTAGAATATGGAGTGAATAAAGAGAAGTGCGGGGTTTAAATAGAAAAGCTCTTATTTTAATGTTTATATTAATTGTGCAAATCTTTAAATGGGTTGGTTGTAATTAAGCCATTCAAATTTTATTTTATTTTAGTATAAGTAATAGTCTAAACTAAAAGAGATGAGAATTTCTCACATACACACACAACTATGATGTTGTGGGGAATTCGAACTTGAGACCTCAGGTATGTAAGTAAAGATATTTTTTATTAGGCAAAATCTTGTTGACTAATTTTTTAATTTTATTTTTTAAACAAACGATAATAGAGGACGGAGTTGAGAATTCCATGAATACTTGAATTAGAGGTGTCAAACGGGATGGGCCGGCCCAGCATGGCATGAGCCCAGCCCGTTTAAATGAGACACGGCACGGCACGAGCACAAATATTAATGGGCTGTGCTGGGCACGGCACGAAAACTTGGACCAGGCCGGGATCAAAAAATGAGGTCCAATGGACCGGGTCAGCCCATGGCCCAAGCACGCTTCAAGCACGGCACGAGCCCAAGCACGGCCCACTTAACATTTTTTTCTTTCTCAAAAGTCAAAATGCAATAATTTGACATCTAATGTCATTGTTTTTATATATTTTTTTAATCATAAATATATATTTGATGTCTTTCATTTTAGGGATATTACTTGGGTCCTTAATTAATTAAACATATCAACTACAAATTAATTAAACAACATTGGACTTGATATCTAATCAGTACATATGACGTATACGCTTATCTTATAATCAAAACAAGACATTTTTTCACATATAAAATAATAGGTTGTTTAAAGATGAAAAGTTGAAGTGGACTTTGTGGAGTTTGACATTTTTTGCCCTTCGCCATTTCATATAGTTTGGATGTTGATTGATTAATGTTTTCAAATAGTTCATCATTTCTTGCCTCTAATTATATTTTTAATGTTTATAATTTGAATTATCTAGTGGAAAAAAAATCAAGTGAAAAAAAATTCAAATTAAATGAATTGGTTCTTGGGCCCGACTATGGCACGAGCCCGGCCCGGCCCGTTTCAATATGGACATGGGCTTTGGGCCGGGCCGGGATCAATGATTTTACTAAATGGGCCGGCACAGCACGGCCCAATAAATTAAATGGGCCGGCCCGGTCCAATACGAAAACGTTAAAAGCACGAGTTTAAATGGGATGAGCATGCCCAGCACGGCCTGTTTGACACCTCTAACTTGAATGTTGACATTTGTTTGTTAATTGTGCCTCTCTGGCAGTTGAGCAATCTCGTGAATGTTTGAATGTTGACATTTGGGTTTTTTTAATTAATTAATTTATTTTAGAATTGCTCATTCTTGTATGCATGTATTGAAATATAAATAAATATGATCATTCCCTTTTTAGTTCACGGATCTTCACTTATAGTCCATTTGGGATGTACAATTTATCTTTTATCATCATTCTCGTGATCTAATCCTTTATTTTCATCATTAACCATTTAAAACTCGATAGTCTTAATTTAATGAGATCACGTTGGTTGTGCTTTAAGAGACGTTATAACTTGTTGACTCCTAAATCAACTACAAGCCTTTGAACGGCTTATAACGCCTATTGAAGTACAACGGCACGATCTCATTAAATGATCCAATAATTTCACGTGTTTTCTTGCACATATCCCCCTTTTAGGACTGATATGATATATAGATACATAATCTTGCAAAAGTATACACTTGCACAAAATATAGTTGATGACATGAAAATGACGTCAGTAAAGGGTAAGAGAATCTCCACTGCAGCACACATAATAAATATATATGATGAGAGTGCAAGTTTAATTAATATATAATAAATTGGATAAGAAGATAAATTTGGAGCCAACTATTCCAATGGTATAAGGAACTAATTCCCTCAATTATTCTTCTGCTCCTTCTATATAAACCACCGTACTGCATTCTTCCTCTTGCAAGGAATTCCCTCAGACCTTCCTCCTCCTTTTCATCAATATGCTGCAAAACCCTTTTCTTAGATTTCTGCTTCTGCTCTCATTGCTTTTCTCCTTTCTTCCTTCTTTGACTGCAATTCCTGCAACCAGTAAGATTAAACACTAGTCAACATATTTTTTATTATTTTTTTCTCTCTCTAGTCTTTTTTTTAACTCCAAATAATTCTGTCTGTTTTGCAGGAAGCCTCAGGTCAGATGATGAATACTTGACTGTCCAAGAATCACTGGTTCAGCTCTCTCTCTCTCTCTCTCTCTCTCTCTCTCTCTCTCTCTCTCTCTCTCATACATATACGTTCATACATATATTCATGCATGTATTAATTCATTGCAATTTGTCCCACAATTATATTTCCTTAAATATATATATATGTATTTCTGAATAATTGGTTGGAAATCTGAACCAACTACAGAATTCTGATAAGGTTTCTAACAATTTGCAGGGTGCAGGGGATTTGGGGTTGTTTGATGTGGGAGAGGGAGAAGGTTTTATTGAGGGGAGGATGGATATGGAAAGGACAGACTATCCGGGGACAGGAGCAAACAACCACCATGACCCACGAACCCCTGGACGAGCTTGAAGAAGACCAAGGCCCCTGTTTTATTTTTAGTATTGGGTATACGAGTACAGAGCACCGTCTAAAAACTATTTTTGTTTTTTTATTTTTGTCATTGGTATTTAAAAAAGAATGTTATGATATCGTTATGTCGTTAGACAGAGTGATCGTCTGATCAGTAGGCGAGGTGAGGAAATAGGTGACACCCCAGAATAAGCGGGTTGGTTACAGTTTTGGTTTACCTTGAGTGGTGGCCTTTGATTGTGGGAGTTGACGGGGGTCGACGACGGTGCACCGAATCTAGACCCAAAAGAGAGATAGAGTGGGATTCTGGGTGGGTGGGTTGGTTGGGGCAGCTTGGGTGGCTCTTGGTGGTTGGGTGGGGGTTGTGGGAGGTGAAGGGTCCTTTATTTTTTTTTCTTTCTTTTATTTTGTAAATTTATTTCTTATTTTTAATTAAGAAATTAAAATTTGTAAGTAATTATATTTGTTTTTAGTTCAATAGAGTATAAAAAGTGGCTAATTTGTGTGTCATGTCATAAATTTGATGGATATAATGGTAGAATTAAGATTGCAATAATTTTTTTATTTTTTTTATTTAGAGATAAAAGCGATAATTGTATTTATAAATTAGGCACAAAGACCATCAGCCACAAGGACAAATACAAATACCCACAAAGAGGTAATACAAATATGAAAATATAGTAACCGTATAGAGTTAATCCAGATACAGGCTATAAAAGGCTAGAGAAATTTCGGTATAATAGCCACATGCCTGAACAAACCACACATGAATCACATTGCCCAAATTTACCAATACAACTACAACTTTTAACTCTCACAAGTACAAAATACAAGTAGATACTATAAAACAATTAAACACCCAACTCACAAGGAGTTGATGCAATTATTACAAAATAAGAAAACTACAAACAAACAACCAAAACCAACAGAGCCACTATCGTCGTTGTCACCGCTACCACAACTGCCTTCATCACCTTGGAGATAGAGAACACCATCGAGATTGCAACCGACTTACAATTAAAATAGTAACTAACAAAATCACAAATCCAAGCAGATCTAAACATAAGTAACCTCCCCACAATTAAAACCCCAAATCCACTAGATTGGAAAGGGAAAAATAAGTGAGCAGATGAGGAAAAGAGAGAGAGGGAGAGAGGAGGAGAAGTGGCATCCTCCCCCTCCTCGGAACACAACAAAAGCAAATGTCAAAATTTTAGAATAGAGACAGATGCCAAAATTTTAGATTAGAGACAGATGTCAAAATTTTAGATAGAAGACAGAGAGGGAACAAGAGAAATGGCGACAAAAAATCATAAGTCGAAAGTAACATGTTATTTTGTTTTATTGGATTTATTAGTAGTGGGTATGGTTTGGTTGGATCACTTTCACAATCTGAAATTGAACTAATCATTATTAAGCCGTGCGACTTGATTTAGTTTGGGCTAAAACTACTGGAGAAACCAAACCAAACTATTTACTATTGTGCGACATGCAATTATGCAAGGGTGTCTGTAGGGAGACATAGCTTGTCGAAGCCCCAATACATATACCGTTTGAGTTTCTGATATCTACACCTAAACTAGTTGTTTGAGGATTAGCCTCAGATGGTATATCAAATACCCTAAACCTTAATTATAGAATACCCTAAAACCCTAAATCCTAGTTATAGAATACTACAATAGTATGATCACGTAGTATATCTTGTACACGTGTTATGATTTTGATTATGAATTTTACAAAATATTTTTTTCTTTTTACGCTAATATGAGCAGTGTTTTAAAAAGGAGAGACTCCAATATAAGCCCATACAACTGATATCCCCTAGACACAAACCCATCTATCTATATAACTACGTTGAAAACCCAAATTCAAATTTAAATGACCAGTAGGATATAAGAGGTCGTAGTATTTCTATGTTTTTACATCGTTGCCACTAAACTTCATATTTTATTTATAATTTATTTCAAGCATTTCATTAACTGCCATAATTGTAATTAATATACTCCCTATTAATAGCATATCAATCACCCCATTTCTTTTAGTTGTCATTCCCTCTCACATCTCGCCCCCTAAAATTGCAAAAAAAAAAAAAAAAAAATATAAAATTACATATCCAATAATGTACCTATGAAAAAAAATATAATATATAAATATATAAATATATTATTTACCCAAAAAAAAAGTCAGTTACTTTGTAATTGCGTATATTTTTCATAATTAAAAATAGGTACACAATAATTTATATAAAATATAGGTACATTATTTGAAGAGGAAAGATAGGTACATTATTAGAGGAAAAAAATTGGTAAGTTATTTGGAGAGAGAAAATAGGTTCATTTAAAAAAATTACGTTTGATAAAACAAATAATAGGTACTTTATTCAGAGAAAAAAGGCTATATTATTTATAGTAAAAAATAGGTACATTATTTAGATAAATAATAGGTACTTTATTCGTAGTAGGTATATTATTCAAATGGTAGGTACATTGGATGACATATAATACCTAAATCCTAATTGTAAGTACATTAAAATTAATGTAGGTATATTGGAATAGATAATTATGTACACTTTTCATACTAGGTAAATTATATTTTTCATAAAACAAATAGGTACATTATTTTTTCAACATAATTAGTATGTACAGTTTTATTCATAAACAATTATAAAGTGGATTATTAGTCATGTATAATTCATAAAAAGAAAATAACATAAACATTTTATTAAACAAACCAATTACCCAAATTTGAATTTATTGTTAAATTTTTTTTAAAATGTTCCAAAATTAATTCCTACATCTATTACAACCATTTGGAGATATTTCCAAATTCAACATCTGTCATTATAAACTATTACCATATTGATTCCTACATTTAATTATACAAAATGCAATAATGGCTTAGTTGGGGGTATTTTTGGAATCTGAAAAGTACAATAAATCATATTTTATGCTTAATTAGGTAACTTGCTGAGTTGGATCCTGGTCATGGGTTTTTACTTATACAAATTGGGTATTATTTATAGGAACAAAAAGTGAAGGGTTTTAGGTATGGCAAATTGAATTTAAAGGGTGTAAGCCAAATTTACTATTTAAAAAGTTTACATCAGGAGGGCGTTGAGGATCTCCTCATAGCTAGGCAATTAATTTTTTCTTCACAAGACTTCCTTTGTTTTGTGTTCAGCCCATTTATCGTATGCTATATATTTGGCTGAGGTGTCCAACTTTAATGAAGATTTACGTTATTACGCTATGGCTTATGCCATCTGGGATTAACTGACACTTAAAAAAAAGTTTGAGACTACAAAGGGCCCTAACACTAAAAACTTCATAAACCCTCCTTCAAATTCAAGAATAGGGATGGTAGTTTGGATGGTGATCTTCTTAATGAGGAGTAGTAGAATGAATGAAGTGGATTTTCTCTTTTCAGAACTGCTTTTTGTATGTCTTGTGAAGATATCTGTAGTATCATTGTTATACTTGTTTGGATTTCTATCTAAATTTGGGTGTCTTGATGATTTATGTGTTGTTTGGTTGATTTTTATCGTTAAATAACAGTTGAATATTTTTTGTTACTCTAATTCATTTTTATTTATATATATATAAAATAATTTGAGTCTCGAAAGATTTACGCTTCACCGCCTCAAGGTCTTATTGGAAACAAAATGCTCTAAACTAATAGGGCATTTGACTCCGCACCAAATTAAACTAAAAATCCAACAATAGCCAGGCCCAATAAAATTGGGTTGGAGAGAACTAAGCTATGGAATGTTTTATAAAGTCTTTCCAGACATCAAGAGCAAGACATGGGCCAGACAAACACAGAGATAAACGAGAAAGGCGAAAGAGCCCGATGAAAAGACGTTGAAGGCTGCCCTACGCAAACACTTAACCCTTTTTTTTCCTTTATATAGCTTTTTTCTCTTTTATCCTTTCTCCTCTCTCTTCTCTTTTCTCTTTTCTCTTTTCTGTTTTCCTCAGACGGCCCTACTACACACACACATTTTGTGCCTTCATATAGCTTCTTTTTTTCTTTTTTTTTCTCCATCTCTTGGCTATGGATTCACCTTGTTTCTTACTTGGACTCCAGGTGGCATCACCCCATTACCCCCACTGACCGTGCAATAAAATAAACTAAAAAAATGTGATGAAAAGTTTAAAAGGAATACGAAAAGAAACTTAGAATACAAAAAGAATTGGTACTTTGATGCTTCACGTTCTTGGTGCTTTTTTAGCTAAAGGGTACTTTACTTCGGAGGTGTTTTGGCTTTTGAAACGTCTTTTATAAATCAACATCTTACTTTTTTATTTGTATTGGATGGGTTTTGCAGTTGGGTTTTTATGTATGTCAAGGCAAAGGCAATCAGTTTTTGTGGAGATATGTCTGAGACTGAGAGCAGAAGCAATAAAAATAGCAATGACATCAAGCTCTTTGGGAGGACCATTCCATTGCTTCAAACTCAGATTGAAGCTATCACTTGCAAGAATTCCCAGGTTCCACCCAAGTCTCAATTCATGGTATGTTTGATGTTTCTATGGTCTTTATTTATTTATTCTTTAAATATTGAGAATATTTGTGAGGAATTTTAGGTTCTTATGCTCCCAGTTGATTGTGTACTTCAATTTTTTTTTGGTTCCAATGTCAATGCTGGAAATTTAATTATGATTTTACAGTAGCAGAAAAAGAAGACTGTTTTTACGATTTCCTTCTTTCTATGTGAGAATTAGTTATGTGAAGGTTGCCTTCTTCATGGGTTTTTGTTGATTATTATATTATCACCTTACTGCTTTCTTCTAAACAGTAATTTGTTTCTGCTCTTCCAGAGAAGCAGTTCATATGCATTGGGTGGTAGTTAGTTTCTTACTAAGGAAGATAATTTCCTTTTTCTTTCTATATTATTTTTCCTTCATAGAGGAAGCTTTCTAAATGTAGGTTAATGTTGTTTAGATTTCTAAATTTAGGTTCATGGTACATTTTCTGTTTGATTGTTAAGGAAAAGGAACTCTAATTAAAGATAAAGAGTACGAAATTGTACCCAAATTTTTTTAAAAGAAAGGGATCAATTAAAGATCATAAGCCGCTTGCTTGGAACAGGCCAAAAGAAGTTACTTGGTTGGAGGTATTGATTATGCAACTCTTGTGAGGACAATGTATTGACATTCTTCTCCATTTCTCTTTTCCTTTTTTCTTATTGGTCTGAAAGATTCAAACCAGGCATGTACTTAATTGCTTTCCTTTTCTTACGCTTGTGTTTTTCAAATTTACTAATGGATTTATCATGACGGAAATATGTGTTTTTTTTTATGAATGATTTACATTATTAAAGCAGAGCAGTAGATCAAGTTTCTGTATGTATTTCTTAACTTCTAATTAGTTAAGAACTAGAAAATCAGCTTTAATATTAGTTAAAGTACTGGTTATTAACTGGCGATTGGTTGTGCTAAAGTGATTTAGCTTTTATACTTAATCATGTCATTTGGCATGCTCCCGAATAATTGCTGATTTATAAATTTAGATTGAGGGAGAAGTAAACATAGAGAGAATTGTAAGGAAATTCCATGTGACGATTGTTTTGCCACATATCAATTTCTATCTTCCATGATATAATGATATACAGAATTCCATTTGTTTCTAAATAAGAATATATAGACATTGTAGACATTGTGCACTGTGTATGAATAGGACTTGTAAATCTGTTTCCTTTTGATTTTTCTGTTATCCAATCATTTCCATCTCCAATATTGAGTTCTAAATGAAGCATTGGTGGTTGTTTTTCAGGGTTCTTGCAGTGAATTAACAAAAGCAGAAGCTGATGCCCCTTGTGCAGAAAATTCTGTGCAGGCAGGGACTTCAGCAATTTGCAAGGAGGAAGAAAAAAGTCGGATGCAGGTGAATGAGGCAAGAGTAAATGCTAAAACCAATTCAAAACAAGCGGAGAACAGAATTTTAGAGCAAGAGGAAGATTTTCAGAAGCCAGACAAGGTCCTTCCTTGTCCACGATGCAACAGTCTAGACACAAAGTTTTGTTACTTCAATAACTACAATGTCAACCAACCTAGGCACTTCTGCAAAAACTGCCAAAGATATTGGACAGCTGGGGGAACAATGAGAAGTGTTCCTGTGGGTGCTGGGCGACGAAAGAACAAGCATCTTGCTTCCCAATACCATCAGATAATAGTATCTGCTGATGGAGTACCATCAACCAGGTTAGAAACCACAGATTCCATTAACCATCAACTTCTCTCATGTAGTAAATCTTCAAGCACTTTTGGTCTTCCAGATAGAGCTGGAACAGTATTAAAATTTGGCCATGAAGCACCTCTTTGTGAATCTATGGATACTATGGTTAATCTTAGAGATCCAAGGACCTGTGTTGAGATAGGTTCTGTCAGTGGCAGAGAAAGTGGAGACGAGCCCTCATGCGTGTCTTCCGTGACAGCATGTGGTAACCAGGGAAGTGAATTATCCAAAAATATTTTGCAGAGGGATGGGATTGGGTTACAAGGGTCTTGTAGTGAGCCTAATATCTCACATCCTTTGAATTACTACCCAGTTGCTCCATTGGTTTTCCCTTGGAATCCAGGTTGGCGAAATGCAGCTTCTCCTGTAGCACCACAGCATTCTCAATCCATTTGTGTACAAAATTGCATTGCTCCTAATCAAGTCCAGTGGTACCCCACACCAGTTCTGGCCGTTCCTGGCCCTTGCCCACAAAGCATTCCCTTACAAACTGTTCCAGCACCGTATTGGGGCTGTATGCCCGTATGTCCTGCTGGAATGGGAAATTTATTGTTGTCTGGATCTAATGGTTGCTTATCTCCATCATCCTCTACAAGTAATAGTTGCTGCTCAGGCAATGGCTCACCGACCCTTGGCAAGCATTCGAGGGATTCAAATATTATGGATGAAGAGAAATCCGAAAACCGTGTTTTGGTTCCAAAACCTTTGAGAGTTGATGACCCGGATGAGGCTTCGAAGAGTCCTATATGGGCCAGTCTAGGCATTAAGCGTGACCTCAAAACATGAGTTTTTAGAACATCAAAATCTAAGACAGAAGGCAAGAGCCATATATTCATCCCCAATCATAGAAGCAATTCTAGCAGCTCTTTCTGAGTCTCATACATTCCAAGAAAGTACATGAAGCGTCTCCTTTGCATTCTTGCTTGAAAGACATGAGCTATCTCATAGCCATATTGCTGGTTCTAGCTTTCTAGGCAGATGGTTTTCAGCTTCTCACTGTTCTTGGCTCGGTGCATTTTGCACTTCGAACTGAATCGTTCACCATGGTATAATCTAGGATTTTGAGTTTTGATAAAATACAGAAGTTTAAATACCACGGTTATAGAAATGTTGTTGAGCTATCCGTTTTCCTTTTGAGTGCTCATTTGTAAATATACAATTAGCAACAGTGAATACTTGTTAGTGGCCGCTGCCTAGTGGCTTCCAGTTCAATTCAAACACTCTTTTATATGTACAGAACTCAAGTGGGAAATAGTGTTTGCTTCATTTGTTTATTTTGAAATTTTAAGAATCATTTTGGGGGAGATTTAATTCGTATGATTGGGCAACTGTCATTGTGATGTTGCACTGTAAGAACAGTAACTGAATCGATCAGGATAGGAATTGACACCAACTTTCACACCTGATGATAATGGCTGCAGCTGGTTTTGTATACATAGGTATATCTATCAATGTACCTACCAATAATCTAACTACAATTTTAGGTATATATATATATATATTAAAATCTTATTATATAGTATTTATAAGTATGTTTGGCAAAAATTTGGAAATTAAAATTGTCTCCTAAAATCAAAATGTTTACTTAGCTTTTCTTATAAAAAGAGACTTAATACGGCCAACCTATTTGGGCATGAAATTTGTGTACCAGCTCGAAATAAATATTGAGTTCACTTTTCAAAAGGTATTGGGCTTTGCTTACCAAAAACTGGTGAATGCCCATACTATTCAACAAAAGGTGGATTAAATTAAATAAATTCACATTATTTTGATAATTGAGAAATAAGTTACCACAAATGGTGATTTAATCCAAAAATTGTTGTAAATGCATGAGTTGGTGGATGACCACCATACCTTTTAGCATTCACCCTTTCTAATTCTATGTAACATGTACACTAAATACCATAGTTATGAGCTTGTAATTTTTTAGTTGTTAATGTCTTTTTATCATTGTAAGCTTACAAATAAGAGGTCTTATCAAGATGAGACATACAAGTTGATTGAACAATTTCTATTGTCTTATTCTACTCTTCATTTCTCTCTACAAATTCTCTTAGTTATATAACACGTTATCAGCACGAGCATCTAACCACTTGAGGTTTTGTTTTTCTATCTTAGAAATAGAATAGTTTCCTTTTATATATCGTAAGTATAGAACTCTTGTTACATAGGCCTTGACAAATGGAAAGAAGTGCATCAACAAAAGGAAGCTGAACAACAAGATTCCAAATAGATAAGACTTATTATATTTTTATTTATATATCTAGTGCATGTGAAATTTCATATTTTACAAAGAAATTATCATTTTTATAATAGATATCTATCACGTCTATCTACTTACAAGATTTCAACTGTATTTTGTTATTTGTCAGAAATTTGTTAAAGTTCTAATTGCCAACAGTGACATGCTCACATAAAAGAAAGTTGATTTTCGAAATCATTAATGATCAAAAGATCAATTGAGGAATTTTATTAACTTTAAAACAGGCTCAAATATAAAAAGGTAAACAAAACTACTTTCCATTTGACTAACATTTTAAATCTTTATCTTTGTCTAATTCTTATTCTAAAACTTTTACACATTTTTTCTTAATTTCTTTTAGTCAAATACACATTTTTCTTTGTGTCAGTATTGTAGTCAAATTTGGTCTAATCTTACTAATGTTTTTTGTTTAAAACCTCCACCTTCTATAATTGAAATTAGTCGCATTGGAACCATATGTCACCTTCCTTTCTTGATTGTTTTTTTTACGGTTTGTAGGAAAATTTGGCAACAATGTAATCATTTTATAAGCTTTACGGAATCGTGGGAGCAAATAATTGGACGCCAATGACAAAGCGACACATGTACAAAAAAGGCAGTCGAGCAATCCAAATTGCACTTGCAGGAGAAGATGAGGAGCATCTATTCAAGCATTTAATGAAGGCAGTTGAGATTACTGCCCCAAAGGTGGCAGGGGTCGCTTCCTCTACCCCAAAACTACCCCAATTCTGGGCAGGTAGTTGAGATTGAGCCCAAACCACCCACGAAAGCCTTGCAAGGCCTTCTGCTAGGCATAAGCTATGGAGAAGTTAGTCCAGTACAAGCCCTAATGCCTATAAGGCCTTCTTTAGGTGCGAAGGGCTATATTTAGTCCCGTTCTACATTTAGTCATCTGATAAATGATTTTATAAGGAATAGTGTCAAGCTACATTTTAACCGTCTTCAACAACAAATGGCGAAATTTAATATTTTAATAGTTTTTAGTATATTATGTAAATTTATTAGTTAATTTAATTAAACTATTATTTATATCCTATTTAAAATACATTTTAGAAGATAAAAATATTTTGGGATATGATTTTTGACAAGTCTTTGTCTTGTTTTAAAAACAACCTAAAAATTAATTTAAATGGAAAAAGATTCAGGATAGTTTGTAAAAGAATGAAGAGAGTGAGAAATTATGTAAAGGGATGAATTTGAGGAAGGATAATATGTAAAATGATGAAGATGTTGTGAGAAATTATGTAAGAATGAGGTATGTATTTATAAATAAAAAATTAGGAATTTTTTAGAATTTAATTTTTTTTTTCAGATTTAAAATAATAATAATAATAAAGCTAGCTGATGTCAGCTGGGCCCATCCAATTATTTAGCCTGGGTTGGCCAAAGGGCCACATGGGGCCTGATTTTTAGGAATTGGCCCTTTGTGTAACCAATTGGAGATGAGTTTGGGGAATTTTGGGTTATTTTTTAGGATTTACGAAATTCTATAGTGAGGGTGTCATGTATGGACCGCTCATGTGGACCTTTCTAGACACATGATCATTTCATTAAACTTAAGTGAAGCTGCTATTCAGATGAATCATGTGGCTAATATGAAAGTCCACATCACCACTTGGAGATGGCCTAAGCTCTTGGCTTAGGCTAGACAAGACAAGGCCTAACATGAATTATCCCTAGGCAACACGCCTAAGGATATATATATATATATATATATAAAATTAACTCTTATAATGTTTAAAAACATGTTTCGTAAAATTTTCATCTTTCATTCTTACTTTTTTTTTTCCAGCTAAAAGATAGAGAAAATATATGAGAAGAGGAATGGATGAGAGACCAACGTGTAAGTAATACAACAAATGGAGAAATTACAGGTTGAGTTTCCTGGTTGACCATATAAATTAGCATTAAAGTTGCTTTTTAGGGCTCACGATTATAAGATGCTGGTTCATGTGTGGTTTGCATCATTGTTTGTTATTGCATATTTGAAAGAAATCTCCAGATCCTATGTCTAAGGTAATTACATAGAAAAGGAAAAGAATTGATGTTCAAGTAAGATAACTATACAACGTTAACTTCAATCTAAAGTCTTCCTTCAATTAAGCCTTGATTTCTAACAAGATGTTTTGTGCCGGAGTATGTGCAGAGATACTAGCATAAGAGAAATGAAAGAGAATGGGTGAAATAAAAGCTTGGAAAAGCTATTTGAAATGGTAATTTTAGTTGTCATTTTTAGGTATCGTACACATTTTGTCTCCCACCCTTCTCCTTTATTTCTCTATCTTTTCTCCCATATATTCCCTGTCTATCTTTCATTTTAAAATGAAAGCAAAATACAAAAAGGATGCCGAATGACAATGAGCCTTAAGAGTTCTGAAAGAGAGTTTCCACCAAAAAATCGAAGGTATATCGATATTGCCAAAACCAAAAGCCAAAAAACGCCCCTAGATTTCGATTGGAATAATGGAACCCAGAATCCAAGTTTGATAAAAATATTATGTGATTGGAAGTAACCAATTATTTGCATAAAAGCTGGGAACATATTGTGGCGCCTGTATTGAACGTGCAGGCCTGTTTGCTGAAGACTTTTTGACAACGGCTTCAAAGTTCCAATATTAAACACTACACTTTGCATTATTATTTTTATTTTCAATTCGAAACGTCTCAGTATGAGAAAGTCAATGTCCTTCATCCAATTGTCTTAAATTGTTTAAGATGAATTATTACCAATTTGTTCACTGTTCTCTGTCTTTGGATGACCTAATGTTCAACAATTATTGACTTAGATAAAAATTAAAATAAGGCGATTGCTAAACCGTCCATATGGAGTTCTAAAATAGTTTTGGTCACGTCTCGACAAATTTCACTATCATGTTTTTAATGTTTAGCCTGAAATCATCCTTATCCTTTAAAATTATCACTATCATTCTACTACCGTGGCAATCACTATTTTGTTATAATTTGGCGAATTATTGGAGTTAATCCACCAACGTACCGTCCATTAGACTAGTTAGGCTTCATTATATCGACAAGGCTTATGGGCATATCCTCTTTAACAACCCAATCGACAAAATATTTGCCATACAAACCTTATCTATGAGGAAATTATAATATGGATAAATAGAACATATAGGAATAGAAACACGTGAGATAAATATTGTACACCCATTTTGGTTTATTATAGCAACTTGGATGCTATGTGCCATCCTCGATTCTTCAGATTTTATCCAGTAGTAATGCATAAATATAAAGTATTTTGTCATTTCATATTAGCCTTGTCATCCGTGTTTGTCCTTGCGCGGAAAAAAAAAAGCACATTACTTTTGCATATTCAACGTAGGAGCAGAAATTCAACGCGCAAATTTTAGCACACGCATGTGCATCCAAAATATTCTTCAAAATCCTTGTTCTCTTACTCTATTTGTGCATAATCATATGCCTGCCTTTGACTTTTCTCGCACTCCAGCCATTTTTTTCACGTACTCCAGCTAATGCTCTCCATCATCTCTCCCTCCATAAATACTTTCCTGAACTCCTTATCCATTTCCATAAACACAAACCTCTTCTTTTCATAAACTCAACTATCCATTATTATTCAGACTATATATATATAATTGACAAGTTGAGATGAAGATCATTAAGACTTCATTGCTAGCGTTCCTCTTTCTTCTTCCTCTTGTACTGGCTGACCTGCGGGTTGGTTTCTACAATGCTACCTGCCCACAAGCTGAATCAATTATACAACAAGTCGTGCAAAAACGGTTTGCAACTGATTCATCCATAACTGGCGCTTTGCTTCGCATGCATTTCCATGACTGCTTTGTCAGAGTAAGCTACATTAATCTTATACATGGTTAAGTTGATATATACAATATGTGTGTCTGTGTATAATTCACGAGTTAATTTAATGAACTTTATATGTATTGCAGGGATGTGATGCCTCCATACTTATAGATTCGACACCGAAGAAGACATCTGAAAAATCGGCAGGACCAAACTTGACTGTGCGAGGATTTGAGCTTATTGACGAGGCCAAGAAAAGCCTAGAGGCAGCATGCCCTTCAACTGTATCCTGTGCAGATATCATAACCCTCGCAACCCGAGATTCAGTTGTTCTTGCGGGAGGGCCAAGCTATGCTGCTCCCACCGGAAGGCGTGATGGCCTTGTTTCAAATCCCGACGACGTTAACTTGCCCGGTCCATCGTTCTCTGTGTCTCAGGCGTTGCAGGCTTTCACAGCCAAAGGGTTGACCCTAAATGACATGGTCACTCTTTTGGGTGCACACACGGTTGGTTTAGTGCACTGTAATTTTTTCGAAGATAGGCTTTCAAATTTTCAAGGCACAGGGTCTCCTGATCCTTCTATGGATCCAGCCTTGGTTGCCAAGCTGAAAAAACTTTGTGCAGCTGGCAATAACCCAACTACATTTCTGGACCAAAATACATCTTCTACTTTTGATAACCAGTACTACAATCAGCTTCTTTTGAAGAGAGGTATCTTGCAGATCGACCAGGAGCTTGCTTCAGATAGATCTACGACTGGTATTGTTTCTGGATTTGCATCAAATGGTGTGAGATTCAGTCAGAGATTTGCAACTGCTATATTAAAGATGGGGAGTCTCCAGGTTCTTGTTGGAAATGCAGGAGATATTAGGAAAAATTGTAGAGTTTTTAATCTCGAGTAAAAGAACTAATCGTTTAGAGTCTTCTAATAAATTTGGATATTAATTATTGTGATGATAATTTTTATGTAATCAAGCCTTACTTATCAAGTCGTTGAGTATGTAGTTTGTTAAATTGCTGAAACATACTAAAGGTGGCAATCATATATGAGGTGTTAGGAATGGATAATCAAATCTCTAAATATGAAATCAGAGCATGGAGACTAGAACTAGTGGCAACCATGTATTAATTAATTTGTGGACAAAACGTATTACTATCCAATGATAATAAAAAAGATGGCTTAATTATGTACATGCCCCCTGTGCTTTCCAACTTATCTCAGATTACCACCTGTGGTGGAAAACGTCTCAAAGTACCCCCCAACGTGCAAAAAACTGTCTCACGTTACCCTTTCCGTCAGTTTTTTTGAAGTTCCGTTATGAACGTTACTGTTCATCTCCCCCAAAATTCCAGAACAGCAGCTCCTCTCATTTGTTACTGTTCATCGCACCAGTTTTTGGGCTGCCATCGCCTCCTCCGGCCACCCCAAGCGACGACATGGATATTAAAAGAACCAGCACGTTGTCCTCTACCACCCTCACATCTCAGCCGCTGCCAACCGTCGTCTGGATCACCGAAAAAAGCAAGAAATTGGCCGGTTTTTACCCAAAATCTCCATTGCTCGTTCGGGCGATTCCGAGCACCATTTTCTTCGATCCAAGTATGATTTTTCAACCTCTCGAGTTGTTCTTGCTGCTAGTTGTGTTGGTTAGGAGAAATTTCTGAGTTTTGGAGGGTAAATAAGCGATGAACAGTAACAAAGGGGAGGGGCTACTGTTCTGGAATTTTGGGGGAGATGAACAGTAACATTCGTAACGGAACTTCAAAAAAACTGACGGAAAGGGTAACGTGAGACAGTTTTTTGCACGTTGGAGGGTACTTTGAGACGTTTTCCACCACAGGTGGTAATCTGAGATAAGTTGGAAAGCACAGGGGGCATGTACATAATTAAGCCAAAAAAGATTCCGTTGTTCTCTCTCTCTCTCTCTCTCTCTCATAGGACAGTTTTGAGGGTCCCATACGATTTATATATATATATATATTTTTTTTTATAACGATATGAACCATCTATTTTTTCACATCTTCTGTTGAAGAATACGCGAGTCCCATATCGGAAACTTAACAAAATAAAAAGTTCCATATAATAAATGATTCTACTCCTAATAACATCGAGACATTTTGTATAAAAACCCCACACATGCTAAACAGGTGATTAAGTTGGAGACAATATCGATGTTGCTAGCGGTAGGCCAAGGGTCCGTCCCTTTGAAATCTTAACATCTTCATTTAGAGATCATCCTTGCAAAAAAAATCATGTAAATTGAAAATCATTAAGGAATCAAATTGACACCAATAAAATCAATAAATACAATACTTCAAGAAAGTACTTAAATTTCAATAATTTAATTAAGTGGTCAAATGATATCGAATATCTGCAAAATAGACGATTTGGATCTCAAATAAGCTTATTGAAGAATCCCTTAACGAAAGCTCTATAAATAAAGTTAAAGTAATATTACTGCAGACCAAGGTTTTGAAAGGCGTATATATGAATTGTTTTGATAAAAAAACCAAGGGTTGTTCTCATATTAGCCCAAAATTATATCCTACACATATACCCACCTACTTTTAAATATTTACTTAAAACCCAAATTTAAAATAGCTTGTCGTGCAAGATAGATTTGAACCCAAATAAAAAAATCCCTAAATACATATCCAAAAAATAATGTACCTATAAAAATAATATATATAAATATAAATATAAATATAAATATTGGTATTTTCTTTATAGAAAATATAGGTACATTATTTACAAAGAAAAAGTCAGTTACTTTCATAATTGAAATTTTGTGTACATTTTTCATAAATTAAAATTAAGTATATAATAATTTATAGAAAATATAGATATATTATTTACAAAATAAAATATAGGCACTATTTCCAATATAAAAGGTATTTTTTTTGGGGGGTCTTAAAATAGGTGCATGTTGTAATTGAAACTTCTGCACATATTTCATAAATTAAAAATAGATACATTATTAGAGAAAATAGGTCCTTTTTTTTTTTTTTTTTTTTTTTTTGTTTTTTTTTTTTTTTTTTTTTGAGATATAATAATCATGGAATGAAATCATAATAAACAGCACATAGAACGCACATGAAACATGGCCTTGTTAAAACCTTCTTGAGGGAAGAAAAGAGTATCACACATATCATTGACTAACAAGAGAGTCTGAAACAGTCATGCAGGACCAATGCTAGAGTAAGATAAAATAAAACAGCAAACTGACACATAGACCTCCGACGAGAACACTACAACACAATCCAATTTTCAAAAGAGTCCTGCTATGAAATCATAGTCCCTTGCACAGCCACAAGACATTGAGAGCATCCGACAGAGAACACAATACGCCAAGAAGAAAGAAAACATCCACTAAGCACACCATCTCCAATAGCAATTGGAGATGAAAGAAGAGACTAACCCTGCAAATAGGCTAGGAAAGAAAAAAAAAGTCCCCAAGTACGTTGTATTATCTCAACACTGACAAAGAAACCTCCTATGAAAACATAGTCCTTGAGACAGGGGAAGAATCAAATATCAGCTAAGGGGAGAATAAAGAAAACACCACGCAACAATAACAAAATTGGTCTAGCCACTTAACCTGAACACGAGGATCAAGCACAAGAGCATTCATCGAATGACAAGCCCACGAATGCTCCAAGAACACATTAAGGATAGCGCCTAGAAGACTCCACTTGACTAGTCTCCATAGGTTTGTCAAGAGGTACACCAACATCACTTGGATTTGTAGTCAACATCGTAGAGTCACCAGCCAAACCAATAAAGATGGGTAAAAGGATGGTACCCAACAACCCTAGTTGCCAAAAACCTAGCCCAATACCGTGAAAAGGAGGACCAAAGCTATTGACCCCAGGTGAAGAGCCACCCACGCCAAATCTCTAGACAATGACCGTCTTCTCATGAAGGTAAGGCTTGAGATCGTAGATCGGACGAAGGGGGGGGGGGGGGGGGGGGGGGGGAGGAAGCCATCTCCACCGTGATCGCAGACCCCAACGAAGCAGCTTGCACCATAGTCGCCGTTGACTAGGAGACTGTCGGCACAATGGCAATAGTAGACCTACTGAAACCACAATACCATGAACAAAAGTTATACCTTGCAAATGCACGAATTGATATGATAGTATAGCAAGCAAATACGAGAGTCATTCCCACAGAGATTTGTAACGTTTATCAATTAATTCCAAATATGAATACCTTAAGAAATATAGAAAATAAAACGAAATATTTAAACTTCTAAAATAGCCGAAAATAAGATTACTCAATTTTAATTGAAGTGTTGAAAATCAAGAAAATAAAATAACAAAGGGTAAAAATTGGTTTTGAAAATCAATGGATGAAAGCTAGGATTCCGAGTTCACCATAACAATCCTATTCTATGTATTGAGTTGATTTTGAGAATAAAGTTTCAATTCAATTCCAAGGGTTCGTTCTTTCTTTATTATGATGATTCGTTTGGCCATGGTGTCACCAAGTATCCTCAATTAAACCCAACTAATGAACCCTGTAGCCAAATTTAATCGAGAACCCATTAAGTTTATGAAGAACAATCACTACTACAAAAAAGGAAAAACACGACGGGAATTCACCGTCGTGCATTTAGTTTTCAAATGGTTGTGGAATTCACCGACATCTTTTCCATAACAAAACCACGATGGTAAATACCTGTCGTTGTTAAAACAAAAAACGTCATCAACAAATAAAAACCGACGTCTTTGTACTGCAAAAAGACAAAAAAAACAGTCGAGGATGAGAATAGACGACCAAATCTAACAAAAAAAACGTCGTTAAAAGGAAACATATGACATATATTAACAGAACATGACCGCAAGATACACATACAACGACGAGAACTAAAACTCAACGCCGTTAAATAAACCTTTAACGACAAATAAAAATATGACGTCTTTAAATACATAATAGACGACGTTATTGACACCTACTACGTCACTACATTTCCAACAACCGTCGTAAAATAAATTTTCCACTTCGATTTTTCTATGAATGATGACGTGGAAATAGATATTAGGGTCATTACTTATGACGCGTGTATGTACAGAGACGACGTTGAAATAAATAAACAACGTCGGTTCCAAATAAATGAGAGTCGTATTACAGAATTTATACGTCATATTTTAAAATATAATCGTTGTGTAATGACTCTGAAACGGCATCGTTTCTCATTCCACCGCCGTGTAAAATAATTTTAATGACACGATCTGAAAATAAATGACGTGGAAAAAAGGTTGGGGTCATTAATTACGACACATTAATTTATAAAGACGACGTTGTCGTATATATACAACGTCGTTACCATGAAAAAGACCGCCGTGTTTCATAATTTATACGTCATCATTAACAAAATTAACGTCGTCTAATTCCTATTAGACGGCGTTGTTTATCCGAAATTCGCTGTTTAAAGCAATTTTAACGACATTATCATAAGAAAAGAGACGTGGATACATCAATATAACGTTGTTTTTTAAAAGGAACGACGTCCAAATATATCTTAACGTCGACAAATTTACCAATGGACTTCAAATACCGTCGTGAATTCATCCTTTTCCACTTCGTTTATGAAAGAACATGCGACGTGGTAAATTTATGACGACGTCGTCTTTTGTAACGTTCAGGTTAGAGATCTCGTCTTTTAGACGTCGGTATTATGGGATTGGAGTCGTGTTATTTTGAATTACATGGCGGTTCTTTATGCTTGTCCGACGTGTTATCATAAATAACTGTTTCACAATAGCGTCGTGGTTCTTCATTGTTACGTTGCTTTAAGATGTCGGTAAATATATTGCGGTCGTTGAATGCTCCAAAACGTCGTTTTTTATTAGAACAGATGTTTGTTTTTCACATTTTTATCAAGACCATCGTGTTTGTAATCTGGAACCAGTAATTTTTGTACTGATTGTTTTGTGGCCAAAACCTGTATAATGAAAGTGAAGAAATCACATTACAATATATTACAAAATTAATGTCATACATTGCCAATTACATAAAGCATCATTCAATCCATATATCTTCACACCCATCTCGAATATTTTGACTCCCTAACTCACCCACCACTTCATCAAATGTGTCAACATTTGGCATCCCTCTAGTAAATGGCTCACACTCAATTCTCACATCACCTAAGACATCATCACCAATAACATCATTATATTCTTTATTAGGCATTGATAACACTACCGACCAACCACGATGCATCGGGTCGTCAACAAAAAATACTTGTTTGACCTGAGAAGCCAAAACAAATTGGTCATTCCTATGTCCAATTTTACTCAAATCTACAAGGGTAAATCCAAGTTCGTCCACTACAAGACCAGAAGTACTATCTATCCAATCACACCTAAAGACTGGGATTGTAAACTTTTGGTAGTCAAGGTCCCAAATTTCTTGAATGACACCATAGAAACCCATATTTGAGAGAATTGGGTTTTTATCCTTGGCACTAGCAACTTGCATGGTATGTGCAAGTAAATAAACTCCACTATTTTGAGTTGTCCGCACATCATCTTGTGCCTTGATGTTGAATTTAATACCTTTAATAAGATAGCTCTTATATAATGGCACTGCCATGTTTGGACCAGCTGCTAGCCACCTTAAATTTTCTGATACGCCATGATTGTCTTCCTCATTAAGTTCACTTTGAACCTGCAAATTAATCATAACTTAATTCAATCTAACATAGAAAGAAGAAAAATTAAAAGTCCAATATGTTATTCAATAACATATACCTTCAAGCGTAGCCATTGAATGAAAGTGCTATTGTGCTTATCCTGCAGCCACTTTGTTCTCTTTCTAAATTTTGGATAAGCGGTCTTGATGTGGATCATATGTTGCCTACATGACACGAAAAATTCAAGCATTACTGTCCCAAACATATAAGATAAACATAAGAAATAATTTAAAATGGAAACTTAAAGAATAAAACTCATATGTACTCGATATAAGGTAGGACTTCCTCCGTATTCTCCAAGACATATAGATGTGCTTGGTTCAACAGGTCCCGATCAACTACGCTCACTGTGCAACCTGATAATGGCCTTAAAACTCCCATCTTTTGGCTTGAAGGCACTCCAACTGTACTAACATCAGATAAATGCTCGGTACAAAACTCTACAGCTTCTTCAGCTATATACCGCTCAGCAATGCAACCTTCGGGACGAGTACGATTCTGAACATACCCCTTTAGCATTTTCATATATCTTTCAAACAGATACATCCATCTAAAATATACTGGCCCACATAGACGAACTTCTCTGACAAGATGTACTACTAGATGAACCATGATATCAAAGAATGAAGGGGGAAAGTACTTCTCAAGCAAACACAAAGTAACTACTACATCTTCTTCCAACTTATCTAGCTTGGAAACATCAACAGTCTTTGCACATATAGCATTGAAGAAGAAGCACAAACGAGTTATTGCATACCTTGCAGGCTTCTCCAAAACAGAACGAATTGTCACAGGGAGCAATTGTTGCATTAAGGTATGACAATCATGTGATTTAAGGCCAAGAAGTCTTGAATCTTGTAAAGATACAAGATTTTTTATATTTGAAGAATAACCTTCAGGGACCTTCATACCATAGAAAGAATTGCAAACCTCTCTCTTCTCTGCTCTTGACAAATTCCAAGGCCCGGGAGGCAAACGAGTATGTCTTTCTCCATACTCAGGTTGAAAATCAGTTTTGACCCCCATGTTCAATAAATCTAATCGAACAGCAATCCCTTCTTTATTTTTTCCAGGGATCTCCAGCAATGTACCAATGATACTATCGCAAACATTCTTCTCAATGTGCATAACATCTAGGACATGCCTCACAGGAAGGTATTTCCAATACTCGAGATCAAAGAATATTGATTTCTTCTTCCAACAAACTCTGTCACCATCTTCAACCATATGCAGCACTTCTTCTCCGGTTAATGGCTCGGGAGGTGTGCCATATTCAGGTTTCCCATTAAAAGCTGCACGTTGCCTCTTATATGGATGATTGATTGGTAACCATTTTCTATGCCCAATGTAACAAATTTTGTGGCCATTTTTCAACCTGTGACTAGGGTATCATCGCCGCATATTGGACAAGCTTTATATCTTTTAACAACACAACCAGATAAGTTTCCATAGGCAGGGAAATCATTAATTGTCCATATTAATGCAGCTCTGAGTGTAAAGTATTCTTCATTATGTGCACCATACACTCCTCTAATCCCATCCCACAAAGATTTTAAATCATCAATCAAAGGCTCCAAGTAGATGTCTATATCATTTCCGGGTTGTTTAGAACCGGAAATCAATAAGGTCAACATCATGAACTTTCGTTTCATGCACAACCATGGAGGGAGATTATATGTAACTAAGATAACTGGCCAGCAACTATATCTGCTACTTAGAGAACTGTGGGGATTGAATCCATCAGATGAAATAGCCAATCTCAAGTTTCTCGGCTCATTACCAAACTCGGGCCATTTATCATCAAGAAGTTTCCAAGACGGGGAATCTGCCGGATGAGACATCTGACCGTCAATTGATTTTCTAGCAGCATGCCAAGTCAAACTCTTAGCTGTCTCATGTGATCGAAACATCCTTTTAAACCTTGGAATTGGAGGAAAATACCACACCACCTTCGCTGGCACACCCTCTTTCAAGATTGAATCTTTGCCTTCCTTCCACCTTGAGATACCACAAGTAGGACAATTAGTTGAATCCTCATACTCCTTCCTATACAAGATGCAATCATTGGGGCATGCGTGCATTTTCTCATAACTCAGCCCCAATGCACACAAAGTCTTTTTTGCCTCATACATAGAGGCCGGTACTGTATTTCCTTTTGGAAGCAAATTGCCTTGAAGTATCAATAATTCTGTAAAACAGACATCACTCATCCCATGTTTTGCCTTCAAATTATACAACTTCACTAATGCCGATAACTTCGTGTACTTTCTACAACCAGGGTACAATGGTTGATCTCCATCCCCAATCACATTGGCAAACTCATAAGGATCAGATCCAAAATTACCAAAAATCATTATCATCCATCTCTATTTCTTCAGACACAAAACTGTACCTACTATGGTCATCATCTTCTTCAACATTTCTACTAGCATTAGTAGTTGCTTCCCAAGGTTCTCCGTGAAATGTCCAATTCTTATAGCTTTGGTCAACTCCATTAAAGTATAAGTGATCCCTTATAATTCCAACCCCAAACAATTTCAAATTAACACATTTAACACATGGACAACAGATATGTGTTGTAGTTAGAAGATTTTCTACAAAAAGTTCAAAAATGCTTCCACCCCTAACTCATATGCTTTCGATCTTCTATCCGAGTGCATCCATGACTTATCCATCTCCGACACTATACCCTATTATATATAATAAAGTGAAAAGACAAGCAATGACCATCACTATAGCAGATTGTATAAAGTTCTAATAGCAAGTAATATACAACACAGACGATGGTTTTTAAACAAAAACAGACGTATTTGACATATATAGACGACGGATTTTCAACAAACGTCGTCTAATTATAACCACGACGGTAGTTAAAGAACACCGTCATGTATAAGTAATACAAACGACGGTTTATGAAAAAACCGTCATCGTATGCCTAAAAACGCGTCGATATCCCAGTTTATTTTCAAGATCCCAAAACCCTATTAAGAACATAACATATACATGAAACCAAGCATGAAACCAACATATACATGAAACCAAGGATGAAACCAACATATACTAAGCATGAAAACAATAAATCCATTCCCAATTCAACATAACAGAGAGTGATTAAAAGATCTGACAAAATTAAATCTATTCCCTATTCAACATAACAGAGAGTGATCAAGAAAACATTAAACAGAAAATCCATGAACCCATACCTCCAACAACATTATTAACAGATCGCAAAACATATATCTAAAACCTTTAAACAAAACAACCTAATATCATTTAATGAATTTACAAGGGGAAGAGAGGGTTTGTACTTACAGGTTGGCAGAGCTCACAGATTATGACATACTTGGATTCGACAGAGCCTGGAGAGCCCAACTTTGAATTAGAGATGAAGTGAGAGAGCGAAATGTTATTTTGCGCGAAATCTGAAAATTTTTGGGTTCAGGGTTAGAAGTATAAAACTAAGAGCCAAATCTGAAAATTTTAGGTCGCGTGAATATTTTTAGAAAGCGCGCTCTTTAAAACATCGACGGAAAAAACAACCGTCGTTAAAAGTTCACTTTAAACATGACGCTTATTACATTAAAGACGTCGTGGTAAAACTATGTACGACGCAAAATCAAACAGAAGTCGTCAAAACTAAGAAAAACCATGGCGAAAGTTCTACCAAAACCGACGTAAATATAGTATTCACGACTCAAACACTGAACATAACGCCGTTTATTTTGAAGAAACCACGTCGTCTATTGAACCAATAGGAGTTGACGTTGCATTTTTTGGATTTATTTTAAATTTATTTTGAATATTTTGAATTAAAAATAATAAAATATTCTTATATCAACAACAAACCACGTCGGGGTTAATAAATTAATGACGTTGTAAATTATAATAAACGACTCACTTGTAAAAAGGACGTCGTTTAAAAGAGAAACCATGGCGGATGTTTCACCATCCGACGTAAACTCTATATTCCACGACTTAATCACCGTCGTTAAAAGTAATACCCTAAACCCTAAACTATATATTTTTAAAATATAATTTTATAAAATTGTTTATGGTTTTACAGCCTAATATATAACAAACATAAACCCTTAACTCCAAAAATTATACTTTAACCCTAAACCTTAATAAATAACAACCCTAAACCATCAAACTATAAGTGATGTTATGACTCATCAAAATAATTTTATTTTGGGTGGTCATTTTAAACTTTTATTACTCAAACTGCATTTTTTTGAGGTTTAGGGGAAGAAAATATATCAATGACTTCATAGGAGTTGACGTTGCATTTTTTGGATTTATTTTAAATTTATTTTGAATATTTTGAATTAAAAATAATAAAATATTCTTATACCAACAACAAACCACGTCGGGGTTAATAATTAACGACGTTGTAAATAATAATAAACGACTTAATTGTAAAAATGATGTCTTTTAAAAGAGAAAACATGGCGGATGTTTCACCATCCGACGTAAACTCAATATTCCACGACTCAATCACCGTCGTTAAAAAGTAATAACCTAAACCCTAAACTCTAAATTATATATTTTTAAAATATAATTTTATAAAATTTTTTATGGTTTTACAGCCTAATATATAACAAACATAAACCCTAAACCCCAAAAATAAATTATCCTCTAAACCCTAATAAATAACAAACCTAAGCCCTCAACCCTAAACCCTAAACCTCAAACTATAAGTGATGTTATGACTCATCAAAACAATTTATTTTTGGGTGGTCATTTTAAAATTGTATTACTCAAACTGAATTTTTTTAAGGTTTAGGGGGAAGAAAATATATCAATGACTTCATAGGAGTTGACGTTGCATTTTTTTGATCTATTTTAAATTTATTATGAATATTTTGAATGAAATAGAATAAAATATTCCTACAAACACAACAAACCACGTCGACTTTAAGAAAGTAACGACGTTGTAAATATAATAAACGACTTACTTGTTCAAAGGACGTCGTTTAAAAGCGAAACCATGGCGAAATTTTCACTAAAACGACGTCCCATGGACGTACAAACGGTATATCACGACTTAAACAAAAAAGGTGTCGCCGTGTAATTTAATTACCACGTCATATCTGTCATCTAAATATCCTTTTACGTCGGTTTTTGACATAATTATGTCATTGGAAAGTTATTACACATCGGTTACGCAATTTGTTTTTTCTTTTAAATTATGAAAACCTCATCAAATTTTCAGGGAAAAAAAAGGATGTATATTATAGACAAAATTTGTACATTATATAAAAATATCAAGTGTTCCAAAAATCCTCTACTCCATATGAAGGCAAACAAACTCTACCCATTCATTCCGGACTTCATCAATGGCTGCTTGGGGGATGGCGCTTGCTCTTTTCCCTTGGCAAATTGCAATCCATAAACAATGATTATTAAGCTTTACAAAATAAAAAGAAATTCAATCACAGACGACGCTATTTTTCATAACCGACGTAGTATATCGATTCAACGACAGTAATTTTAAAGGACCGTCGTTGATAATACAAAAAACCACATAAAATGTTTCTGAAAATTTTCTTCTTACCTTCTTCTCAAACTCCAGGGAAGGATCCATGATGATGTCCCTCATGAAGCGCATCACATAATACCCGCATTCGACACTGTTGGGTTGCTTTGGTGTGCCTGGCAGAGTTTTCCAAATTGGTGCTTTACGGCCTGGTCTGCCTATGTGGGAATTATAAATTTTTAAAGCACTGTTCACGATGTTTTTGGCCTCCTCATCAACCACACGATTTCCAGGCAGAGGATCCAGAAAAGAGACAGTTTCCCTCTTTGCTCTCACAATCAGCAAGACCCAATGACGGCTGCACAAAATTAACATAAAAAACGACGGTTAATATAAAAAGTCAAAACAAGAAAACAAACGACGGTTATTTATAAAAAAACCGACGTATTATACAGTTTCACACGACGAAATAACGTAGCAATCGACGTCATTATAAATTTATCACAACGGTAATTAACTAACGACGTGGTTAGTTGTTTCAAACGACTCAATAAATAAAGAACCGACGTGGTTAGATGTTTCAAACGGCACAAAATTAGTTAAACAGTTTTATACGCAGTCAGATAGTGAAAATCATACAAACAAAATCCTTTTAAGGAGACTAACCCTGGATTGTAAGGCATCATGAAAATCTGTTCACCATCTGTTTTCTGAAGTCAACTGGCTACAATTCGTGATCTGTCAGTTAGTGACCCAGCGTTGGCACTAACTTGAGCAGGGTCGATAAAGCCAACCATGTTGCACATATTTGCTTCTCTCAAACGATCATATAAGCACCTAAATATATAAAACAAAGATATATAAAAAAGTCAGCACAAAAAAACACACGACGGTTATTTATAAACAAACGACGTATTATACAATTTCACACGACGAACTGAAATAGAAACAGACGTTATAACTAATTTATCACGACGGTAAAAAAAGAACGACGTGGTTAGTGGTTTCAAACGACGCAATAAATAAACCACCGACGTCTTATGCTATAATGTTTTTTTTTCAAACACAAATTTGAGTGTGAAATAAATATTTGATAAGGACAAACCTCATATATACTGCAACCACAGTAGCCCCAATTTCTTCCATGCCTGCTAATTGTGTAATATCTTCATGCAAGACGAAGGTACTGCGATCTGCACCAAACACCTCCTTCTCAATTGTGAAGGTCATGATCTTCTCCTGAGGCTTTAGTGTCGTTTCCACATAACGACAAAGGGATTGTAAGGAAGATGGCACCTCCACATTTGAATAATCAACTACTTCAGTACCTTGTTTAAAGAAATAAAGCAAAATAAAATGACGTGGTAATTCAATAAAAACGACGGTTTAAAGAAAACAACGTCGTCTGATAATAATTTAAACGATGGTAATAAAAAACCGTCGTGTTGAATAATTTATTACGTCATAGGAAACAAATTCCGACGTCTAATTTGAAAACAAACGACGGTTTAAAGAAAAATATCGACGTCTAAAATTTGAAAAACAAATAAAAAAGGCAAAGTTATGAGAATATACCTCTTCGTCATGCTTTTCTTCATCTTGTTTTCTTCTTTCTTCTCTTCATCTTGATTTTCTAAATCCCTAGATTTCTGTTTTAAGTAATAAAGAAATAATATATAAGACAGATTGTACAGAAAGTAAAAAATTAAATCAAAACGTTGTGGTAAGACATAACATAAGACGGTATGTAAGAATTATGGATGTATTAAAATTATTAAACGATGGTAAATAATAAACGTCGTGGGATTTGTCTATTACGTCGGTAAGGACTAAAACCGTCGTCTAAAAACCACAAAAGTACAATGTCTAATGGCGTGTAAAACAAGTAAACTAAATACGACGTGGTATTGAAATACAAACGACGGTTTATTTATAAAATCGTCGTGGTATGATTTTCAAACAACGATTTTCTTCATAATAACGACGTCTAATAGTTTTTAAAAAACAGAGAATTCAAAGTTCAGATATGTTACTGTTTCTTCCTGCTGTTCCCCATTTTTGGCAGTATCATCCTCAAAATGTAGAGATCTCACATCAGCCCCAGAGCAGCTTGCTTTGTGAGACATTGGATTTTTGGGACTTTGGTTTTGACAGGGGCTAGTTTTCGGTTTAAGCATGCTTGGATCAAAATTGGGGATGAGTTGGGAAAGCTGACTCAGTAAATTTTTCCTCTTAGCCTCTACCAATTGCTTGGTTCTAGCCTCCATCCTTAAAGTCTCTTCCCTTGACCTAGCTTCCATCTTCTTAGTCTCTTCTTGAAGGACAAGTCTGACACTTTCCTTTAAATGATCGGCAAACTTAATCCTCTGTTGTTTGGGTAAATTGAAGTACTGCCTAGGGGAAATCCCAGCACCTACCCCACTCACTCTCCCTGGATGCTCGGGACCCAAAGCCATGGTCAACACATCATTGCTGCCAGATACACTGAGACTGCCTTCCGAGACTCGTTTTTGCAATTCATCCTAAAACAAAGATATATAAAAAAGTAAGCACAAGAAAACACACGACGGTTATTTATAAACAAACGACGTATATAAAATTTCACACGACGCAATAACATAGAAGTCGACGTTATTATAATTTTATAACGACGGTAGTTATTAACGACGTGGTTATTCATTTCAAACGACGCAATAAATAAACCACCGACGTCTTATGCTATAATTACAGAAAACAGAGCAGTGATTCCATATTCAGACCTTTAACGACGTTTTTTAAAACATTTCGACGTAGTAATATCATTCACACGACGCCAAAATTAACCACCGACGTCTTATGCAATATTTATAGAAAATAGAGTAGTGATTCCAGATTTAGACCTTTCACGACGTTTTAAAAAAAAATTACGACGTAGTAATATCATTCACACGACGCCAAAATAACATATGACGTAATAAAAATTATACACAATTTAATAAAACAGAATAGACCTTTAACGACTTTTTTAACACATTGCGACGTAGTAATGTCATTCACACGACGCAAAAATATAACATAAGACGTAATAAGAATTATACACAATTTAATAAAAATTTAAAACAGAGTGTGTAGGCTTACAATTAATTTTGCTTTCTCTGCCACCTTTGGATATGGGATGTTACCATGTTTGTCCTGTCTAGCTTTCTTCCATAAGGTAGATCGATCAATTTCTACCCCAGGCATGGTTTCCTCCAATTGATCCTCCAAACCAGCATATCCTTTTCAAGACAATTGATGATTGTACTCAAGTTTCTCCCTAATCTGTGAATGTTGAGAATGCACAGACTCAAATTCTTTGGATAACCTTGAAGCTACAAAGGCATCCCATTCTGCTTTCTCTATGAATTTATATATTTCAGGGGGTTGGCTTAATTTCTCCCTCTCCTGGATGTATGGAAGGATATAATGCCTCGTTAGTGTGGACTTGAAATCCTTCCATTTCTTGGCAGCAGAAGATAACACCGAGTTCTTGCCCCCTTGACCTACCACAAAAGCCATGTCAACGGCTTCCCAAATTTGCTCCTTTATATCCTTGGGGATTTCAACCCATTTCTTGTCCACAAGTGGGACTCTGGAGCGTGCCAACACACCAATGTAGGACTGCATCTCAGTATGTGCAAGGCCACATCCTTTCCCCTTTTTATTGTACTCAACAACTGGCTTGATTTTCTAAAATTTTCTCTTCACAACACGAGGCATTGTGCTCATACCTCGACCTGACTTTGAATCCTCAGAAATTGTTGTCGTGCTGGTTGGTTCTGTCTCAGCAGATGAAACAAACTTCATCTTCTTCAAGGGCTTGTCTTGAGGAGTTACCATTCCAAGCTCCTTACCTCCAATTTTTTTGGAGCCAGAGTCCTTACTTTGGTTTTGAGAAACCATGGTTACAGAAAAAACAAACCTGCAAGTGAAAATATTTCAGGAAAAAATTAAGAACACAAACGACGGTTATTTATAAAACACGACGTATGATAAGATTTTACACGACGCAATTACATAACATCAAACGTAATAAATATTTAAAAAGAGAGTACTTAAACAACGACGAAACAATATAAAAGAAGACGTAATAAGAACTTATTACGGCAATATTTACACGACGTCGTGATATTTAAATTCACACGACGTTAATATAAATATAACGTCGTGGTATGGACATTCACACGACGTAAATAATAAGATACCGTCGTCTGTATAAGAATCCAAAAACCTTTTTCTTTCTCTGTGAATGTTTGATTGCAGGTTTAATTTCTCTGAAACATGGTTTTTGTTTTTCCTAATTTGATAAAATACAAAGAAAAAGAAAGAAAGGTTTGGCATCTTATATAGACGACGGTATCTTAGTATAACGTCGTTGTATTAACATTCACACGGCGTCAATAATAAGATACCGTCGTCTATATAAGATACCAAACCCTACTTTCTTTGTCTTTGTATTTTATCAAATTAGGAAAAACAAAAACCATGGTTCAAAGAAATCAAACCCGCAATTAAACAAGCAAATAAAAAACGATGGTCATTTTAAAAACAACTTAGATCAATTTTTAGACGACGCTAGGACGACTGACGAACCGTCGTGGTCTACATATTTAACCACGTAAATAAGAAGCTACCGTCGTCTTATTTAGTTGATGTAGTTGTGTTCAAAGTTGGAAACTTTCCCTCTTTGTCTGTATATTTTATCAAACTTGGAAAGAATTAAAATGATTTTGGCCAGAAAAAAGGTAAAAAGATTTGCAAAAAAAAACCGTATGAGCATGCAAAATAGCAACAAAAATAGTGAGAAATGAAAGCTTACCTTTTGCGTGCAATGAAAGCTTTCTCTCGGAGTTTGGTGTTTAAGTTCAGAGACGACGACGAAGACGATGAGATACTCTGACAGTGCTCTGACAAGGAAAAAAGACGAAAAGTTTTCTTTGGGAGATTGAAATTTTTTCTCGGGTTTGGAAACAGTGCATGTGTAAGTCAGGTAGACGAAAAGTTGTATATATATATACAAACCGTTTCATAAAAATAAGACGACAGTTTACATAGAACGACGACGTATAAATAAACAAACTACGACGATAATTTGAACTTAGGACGTGGTAAATAAATACAACAGTAGTGTTGTAGGTATCGTCGTAGTAAACTCCAAAATAAAAGTTGATAAATTAATATCTCGCGTCATGGTAGAAGTATTTAACACGTCGTTTTGTTGTAAGATACCGACGTTGATTTTTATAATATACGTCGTTTTTTTTAATATACCGACGTGGATTTTAGAATTAAACGGCGGTTTGTGTGTAAGGACCGCCGTGGGTTTTTAAAATTTATTGTATAAATTTGTCGCTTTCTTTCAGTTTCAGTTTTCATTTAGGTTTCCAAGTTCTTCCTCTCTCACAGACACTCTCTCTCACATCTCAAAGACAATAATTTGGATGTCTTTCTCAAAGAGAAATGGAGCTTACTCTCCAACAAATCTATGTCCACAAGAGGAAGCTTGTCAAGCCTGATAGGAGACTTAGTGCTTCTGAATACTCCTTGCTGTCCATCAAAAGAGATGCAAGCCTGGCCTCCACTCGCTGTCGAAGGAAAGTTCGCTTCTCAGGGAAACCTGAAGATCAGATGTGCTCCTCTGCTCGATTTTCTTGGCTAAGAAGATCCGTCAGATTTGTGATAGCCTGTTCCTTTATCCGTAGAGCTTCTGAAGAAGAAGATGGGTTTGCAAGAATGCGATAAAGAATAGAAATGGCTTCAGATGGCCTCTAAAGCCTGAGCAATCGAATCAGATGGCTTCAGTTGTCAATGCTTTGAACTATCCAAGTCTTGCAGAAAGAGAACGGTTAAAGAAATTGAAACAACGACAGTTTTCTATTCTACCGTCGTCTTTTTTTAACTAAGACGACGCAATATTTTTTTCGCGACGTGGATTCGTTTTTAAAATGTCGTTAGATGTAATATAACCGACGTGGATTTTATTTTTATAATTATAAATAGAATTTTTTTTCCCTTGTTCTTTCAGTTTATTTTTCAAAAACAGTGCGTTATAAATAGAGTTTTTTTTTCCCAAGGAAATTTAAAATGAAGGAAATTAATGTTCTAGAATTTGTAAAGTTTCTTTTTTGGGTGACTAATTTAAATCAAATACGAATATAAAATCAACGACTGTTTTTTGTTATACCGTCGTCTCTTTTTGTCGTCTTAAGTAAGACTATGATGACGTAATGTATTTGTTCCGCGACGTGGATTCTTTTGTTAAATGTCCTTAGGTGTAATATAACCGACGTGGATTTGGTTTTTTAATTATAAATAGGGTTTTTTTCACGGGTTCTTTCAGTTTTAGTATTCGATTAGGGTTTCAACTTCTTCTTGCCCCTTCCTCTGTCTCACCTCATCTCTTAGGAGGTAATTTTTTGAATGTTGGTGTGTGTGTATGTTTGTGTATCTGATTCACAAACATACACACATCACCAATTTTCAAAAAATTGTCTCTCTAATTGCAAATCTGTGGCTGCCGTCGTGAAATTTTAAGAGGCAATTTTTTGGATGTTGATGTGTGTGTGCGTTTGTGTAGATACACAAACGCACACATATCATCAACTTCCAAACAATTGTCTCTCTGATTGCAAATCTGAGGCTGCTGTCGTCAAATTTTAGAGGCAATTTTTTGGATGTTAATGTGTATGTGCGTTATTGTCTTTCTGGTAAGATTATGATGAGGAACAGAGTTCCATCTTGTAAGATTTCCTAACCCTTGTGATCTCAGAAAAATCTGATTATGCCGGCGGTTTTCTATATAAACCGTCGTGGTTATTTCAATTCTTGTCATTAAGTAGATCTACCGACGTAGGATAACAAAATCCAAGAAATAAATTGTTAAAAAAAATTCTTATTAAGACGACGGTTTAAATATGATGTATGACGTATAAAGTGAATAAATACGACGTTAAATTTTATAATACGTCGTTAAATGAAAACCCCAACGTGGTGAGATTTAAAGATACCGTCGTAGAACTATACGAGAAAGACGTCGTTATATTTATCTTTGCCGTGGTTGTACATTAATTTAATACGGCGGTATTTTGTATTTTACCGCCGTGGATTTATTTGTAATTATACGGCACCTTATACGAAAACTTGGTCGTGTTAATTTCTGGGTAAAAACGGCGGCTTTTTTTGAAATTGTCGTCTTTACTTTCTACGTCGGTCAGTTCATAACTTCTGCCGTTCTTTGTTGGCTTTGATTTTACTACTCGGAAATCCTATTTCAATAAGACGTCGGTTTTTAATTAGGTATGTCGTGTTTTAGGAACAGCCATTTGAATCTCCATTTTTTAGGTGTTTAAGGTGTTATTACACGGCGGTTTTATAGAACCGTCGTCTTTTAAAAAACGACGACGGTTTTCAGTTAGACCGTCGTTTTTTTCTAGTCGTCTTTGTCACTTTTTGTAGTAGTGAATCAAGAACTAAGAAGTGTCCAACTCATTTATTCATAGTGCATATAAGATTAGGGATGAACTCATCGCCTAACCTTATCTTAGATAATAAAAAATACCTATAACGGCCAATTACAAGTATCAAGATCACAATTATAATAATGGATGAAACAAGGAATATAAATTGATTAAAAATAAAGTATTAACTCAATAACACAGAATCATCATGTTAGGGTACATCGGATCCCTAGTAAAGAATTTAGTTACCCATAGCCATCTTAGAAATAGACAATATACTTATGAACATATAATACAAAGTTTGAATAAGATAGAAAAACCCTTAGATGAATCCACTTTAGTTGAACTCATCCTCTGGCAAATCTTGAAGGCTATGAATGGCTAAGAAAGTGAGTATGTGAATTTAGTGATTTGAGATATTGAACAATACGCTAGGGTTCTCTCTTTTCAAAGCTGGTCCAAAAAATGTATTTATAAGCTAGCTTCAAGGTTTTGGAGAAAAGATAGGAATTAAATCCATCTAGAATAGGGAATTTGTTCTCCCAATGTGATTAGGATTTGACTTTTGATGCACTTCCTTTGACCAGACCAAACGCCACCAATCCCAACAAAAATATCTAACTTATAATTGAATTAACACAATATTTTGGTGCCTCCTAACTGTCCAAGGATGTCCAAAAGCTTGCTTCCCAAGAATGGTAACTTGTGATGCTAAGTTGTCAAAACTCGCGCATAATTCCAGCATTG